ATACCTACTATCACGACAGGTTATACGAAGATGATCCAAATTTAGGGTGGGGTTATAATCGGCACCCGGCTATAAGCCCACTGGTACGATTATAACCGCATGGGTGTAACATAGGCCTGGGGGTATATCCGGGGTATGACGGTACCCATCCATCCACACCAATAATTGTGCCACCAATAATGGCGACTCCAATACGAAAGGAGTACCAATAATTCTACCCCCAGACCTCTAGACTCCAATAATTCTAGCCCTACAATAATTGTACAATTATTGTAGGCCCTGAAGTCTTATAAGGAGGACTACAGTAAAATCTAACAGCATAAATTTTTCGTTATATGTTATATTTCTCAACAAACTACACATTCTGACACCCATACCGTAACCCATTTTTGGCACATTTGGGATAAGACCCCCGGGTCTTCTAACCGGGAGATGACGGTACTCTCTTCCAATGTTGTGTCAAATCTGTCTTGCTTTCCAGGTTCCAGCTTGAGAGTCGACTTGTGCTAAGTCTGGCCATGATGACTTCCTTGGAGTAACTAAATGTTTTGTGCTTAAAACCAGTTTAAAACCTGAAAACAGATCTTCACAAGAGACGAACCAATGTTATCTGTTTGATCACAAAATGGTGTCGAAATCAAGCACTTGATGAGTAGACCCAGAACATGTGTTCAGATTTTGAAGCTGATAGATGTTAGCTTGACATTGCATTAGTTGAAGTTATCCTAGGAGCCATGGTGGAGAGCTTAGTGCGAGAAAAAACTTATGCAAACTTATCCTCGTTTCAAGTCTTACTTCCATTGGTTTAACTGTCGACCAAAACAGTCAAATCAGCTGCAGATCTGACTCACCCTAAGGAAAAGTCAAGACGCATGCGATTGGTTGGCTGGTCAGATAAGGTAAGGACGATCTTGCCACACCGACCGTACACACCATTTCAGCCGAACCTAGCGACGTTCAATGTGGAGGGTTTGGAAAACCGAGCCTATCACAAAAAGCTCACGCATTGTAACACAAGCGGCACCTTGAACGTATCGTCAGCTCTGGTTGCCGAAGCGGTATCTTTCCCAGCCAAGTGTTCAGCCTTGTTCCGAAGCCGCGGGGCTGGCTGGTTGACCCATGTGGCGATGGGACTCTGCAAGGTACAGATGTTCTCGTTTCTAGTCAGACGGTAAAACACGCCGCGCGCGGACCATGTGGCAAATTTTTCAAAAATCCCAGGCAAACGGGACTATAGCCCGAGAAAACTAGAGAGATTGCATGAAAAGCAGTAAAAATGTAAACGTTTTAGTTGTTCGTGCTATCAATGCTACAGTGGAACCACGCTTGTTTAAAATTCATATGGCATGCTTCTCGGCGCTGGTCATCGACAGGTGACCAGCGGGCCGGAAAAAAACATAAAACCTTGTTGTTTGTTGCCTTCTTTGACGAGGTTTAAGTTTTTTTTTTCCGGCCGGTCAGCAAGCTTCATGCAACGGCATCGTCGAGCGCGGTGGGAACCGCGTGATAGGAGGAAGAAACTAACGCGATCAATATAAGCACGAAACGATGGTGTAATATACTGGTGATATGTAACAACCCTCCTATCTTGGTAAATTCCGAGCAAGCTGGTCTGGTTCAATTCGAGTCCTCCGATTGGCTGTAGCGAAATTTCCCGCCAAAAATGGGACTATAGAGAAGGGGATACACCTAGGACTTATCGGAAAATTTTACTCAGGAAGAAAATGGGACTTTGGAGATCGAGGCCTCTAAACGAGAACAACTATATTGACACCATGGCTGACGGAATGCCCGGATAATTTCTGTGGCAGCCTCTGCTGCTCCCGCTTCTTCTTGACTGTTTGTGATCACCAAAGCAAATCATCACAACCCGTCTTACAGACTTCCAGGCTTCATTCTTCAGAACCAGATTACTTCCCACCATCTTCCGAGCTTTCCGGCCCAAAAAGGGCCTTTCTTTCCCCATTCCCATTAGCTGTTTTTGTTCCTATCGATGGCTAAGCCATTGAGGGACGCGACGGACTTCGACAAGTCGGTTCTCAACGATTCTCGGCCTCTAGCCCTCGTGTTATTTTGGGATCCGTCTGACACCCGTAGCCAGCGGGCGCATGCCGCGTTTCTCGAGGTGATCGAGGACAGTGGACAAATAACTGCATATACTGTGGATGTCAACGAGAATCACCACTCTGTCGACGAGCAAGGCATCACTGAAATTCCCTCCTTGGCAAGCTACAAAGGGGGTGAGATGGCGACGTGCTCGCCTGATCCGGATAACTCTGTGATGGAGGCTATGGTTCAGGAGCTCCTTTGAGGTGCTGCGTGCTCTTGTGTTTTGTCCCTTTTTATATAAACCTGTACCACATGTTGAAAGCTGCGCATTTGCTCACTCTGATTTGAATCTGGAGTTGGTTTACATTTCATTGAAATCTAGCATGCATGCAGTAAGGAATGGGCATCTTACTACAGTAACGAACGTGGCATGTGCGATATGTTCTGTGTTGGTCTGCTGAGGGCCCAAGTTCTACTCCATGGAACATTTATGCAAACAATTTACGTCAACTTATGCTACTGGAAACTTTGAGGGAACATTCAGTAACGCATTTTGCCCAGCTTACTGTTACATACGGTGAATTGTTTGTACCGTAAACCCCCGGATATAAGACCCCCTCCAGTTGTAGACCCCCGGGTCTATAATACGGAGGGGGGGGGGGGGGGGGGGGGGGGTACGCTATATGAGTCCCCCCTTTTCTAGTGCAATCATTATAAGACCCCCCCGTCTCTAGGAAGAATGTTGCATTCGCCATTTTCTTATCATAAAATAGAAGCGATTTCAAACAGATACCGTATCATTCTTTTTCCCCTTCAGATGACTGCGCGAGCGTATCGCGCAGTCAACGTGGTCAAATTTTGTTCTTTTCGCCACTGCCAATGTGGTGATTTCAGTAGCGCGAGTGATGCCACTTGGCAAAAACCCGAGAGTGATGCCACTTGGGGACATTCGCGCCTGCATCCATATTCAATGCCGAGCTGCGAAGTACAACTGATACAAATATACACAACAAACATGAATTCATACTATACATCCTTAAAAAAATGTATTAAAGCCCGCGTCAACTGGGTGACAAACCAATATGGGTGCAACGCTACAACATTTCAGCCTGCAAAATTGGTGAAAAAATTTGCTCTACATAATGACTTCGTGTACTACATAACAAATAAAGCTGTCGAGATAGGCACTCACTCTGCCTCTATCTGCAGCACTCTTCTTGATAACCTTCATAGCCTGCCCCTCCTCCCCATCATTAAGCTCCATCTCGTTCGGTGGTGTGCTCGGAGGCGACTCAACCTCAGGCTGCTTCGGCACCCTAACTATGGCTTCCAGTTGCGCTTCCCGGGCCAAAATTGCAGCAGCAGTGGAGGCAGACAGAGGAGGAATGGCATGAGGAGACCTGCCAGCAGCAGCACTACCTGCACTGGCAGCACCAGCGACAGCAGCGGAGATCATCCCGGCCAATCCGGTGCCGCCAGGTGTCGCGGCACGGGATGGGGAGTGGGATGAGGAGGCGGTGGCGGTGGCGGAGGCTGCTGCTGCCGCGTTGCGAAGCGAAGCGAACGAGCGTACCTGGATGGAGAGGAGGCAGCGTGGGGGGGATGGGAAGGAAGAGGAGGCAGCGTGGGGGGTTGGAGATGGAGAGGAGGCAGTGAGGAATACGGATGAGGTAAGGATACTTCGGAGATGAGGCAGCGTGGGGGACGGATAAGGGGGCAGTGTGGGGTTTGAGATGGAAGAGAAGCACATACTGCCTTTTCCATCCATGCATTACCTGCTCCAGGCGCTACCCGCTCCAGGCGCTACCCGCTCCAGGCGCTACCCGCTCCAGGCGCTACCTGCTCCAGGCGCTACCTGCTCCAGGCGCTACCTTCTACCATTGTTACCTGCTCCAAGCGGCGTGCTGCATCAAGACGATCCTCGTTGTATGAGCTGGGGAACTGGTGGTCGGAGGGAAGGAGGAGGCAGGTGGAGAGGGGGGAAAGGGCGAAGAGAGCGAGATAGAGAGAAGGAGGAAGGGGAAAAAAAAAAGTGATTAAAAAGTGACTCTCTAATGTCCTTACCCCACCTTCCCAAACACCCCTTTCCTGGCAGGGAAAGTACGACAGAAGAAGCAATAAGAGAAAAAAACATTTCCTTTCGGATGAGATACGATGCCCCCAACAGATGGTGCATAATATGCGGATATCTAATTTCATCTTACAACCAAAACCCTACACCCAGACCATGGGGGCGACGGGATGGGGTCACAGGAGATTGGCAGGGGGATTGGGGGGAAACCGATGTAGATTCGGACAGTCTGGGAGAAGTGCTGTGGGGTCTCAACTCGGGAGGTGAACAGGGGAACAACCAAAAGGGTTTTCATGATGTGGGAATGGGGAGGATAGAAGGGGTCTTTCGGGGTTCGGCTGAAAGTGAGAGGAAGGGGAGAAGCAAAGGGGCTTACGAGGTGTGGTGCGTATCTTTGAATGGCTGCCAGCACTGCTGCATGCCCCACAGGCGTCATCTGGGGGAGGTGGGAGGGAGGGTGGAAAGGGGAGATGGGTGGATGAGAGATTGAGAGATTGAATGAGTGATGAAGACTTTTTGAATTACAACATGGGAAGGAAAAGACTTTGTATGGAACATCTGAAAGGCCGTAAAGACGGGAGGCAAAAAAAAAATATGCTGAGCAGATTATGAGCAAGCAGTGGATTAGGGCTGAACGTTGTTGCTACCACAGGGGCATGAGCATGAGGAGGGAGAGAGAGGGAGAGAGAGGGAGAGAGAGGGAGAGAGAGGAGAGAGAGAGGGAGAGAGAGGGGGACACAGATGATAGCAGAGCACACACACCGGGATGAGCATCATGGAGATCACCAATGCCACTTCTGTCAGTGTGCGCTTCAAAACAGACATGCTAGAAAGGCACACTCACACACTGCCAGCACAGCTCAAACCCATGCGAGCACACTCACACATTTCCACGAGCACGAGGGACCACACGCACCGGGATGAGCATGAGCACGCCGATGGGGATCACCGACGCCACGTCTGTCAGCGTGCGCTTCAAAACTTTCGCTTCTCGGTCAGTCAGTGGCTGCCCGAGTGCTGCCCGCTGCAGCATCTTCATTGCAACTGCCACGTCCGTGCTCAGAAGCTGCGTTCCCCGCCACGCATCCTGGTGAATAAATAGGTAGTGATGGGCGGGAAGAAGGCAAACGGTGTTGGGGTGCGCATGATCACACCCGCAGCAGCATCTTCATTCTTCATGCCGCCTGAAAAAAGGAGTGTTTTTTCATTCTTCATTCGTCTCAAAACCGCCACGTCCGTGCTGACGAGCTGCGTGCCTCGCCGCGCGTCCTGGTGAATAGGTAGTGATGGGTGCAGAGAGTGCTGCTGCGTGCCTTGCCTTGCCTCGCCTACCCCTCTCTGCCATCCCAACCTCATTTTCTTAGGTCTCCGCCTTCTCCAATGTGCTCCAGAGACTGGTCAATGATGCTCTACTCCTAACTCTACCCTTCCCAACCCCTCTCAACCGCTCTCCCAAGCCTCCAATCCATCCTTACCGCTCCGCCTTCTCGAATGTGCTCCAGAGACTGGTCAATAACACTCTTCTCCTGCCTCTCCCCTTCCCCTGCCCGGCTTGTCACATCACTCCCCTCCCACTCGTCCAGGCCGCCACTGCTGCTGCCGTCCGGACCTCCCCTCCCCCCTCCCACACTCCACGAGTCACCAGCAGCTCCAGCAGCTGCACCAGCAGCTGCACCAGCAGCTGCAGCTGCACCAGCACCAGCAGCAGCACTAGCAGGAGTAACAGCAGCAGTAGCGGCAGCAGCAGGAGCAGCAGAAGAACCAGCAGCAGAACCAGCCACAGCAGCAGCCGCCGCAGCAGCAGCGGAGGAGGAGGAGGGGGCAGAGGAGGGGATGGTCCAGGAGGAGGAGTCAAAGAGACGGTCAAAGATGGACGGTGCCTTGGGAGGGGACGTTTGGGTGGAAGTTTGACGCTCAATAGAGGAAGATGCTGCTGCTGCTGACGTGCCAGCAGCAGCACCAGCAGCAGCACCAGCAGCAGCAGGAGCAGCAGCAGAGGCATGACCACCACCACTACCACTGCCACCCAACTTTCCTTCCCTACCCACAACAGCACCAGCAACAGCACCAGCAACAGCACCAGCGCCAGCACCAACGTCAGCACCTCGCTGCAGCAGTCTCACCTCGAGCTCCCTCAGCTGCACCTTCAGCTGCTGCAGCCTACTCGCCTCCTCTCCCAACCCTCCCATGCGCGCCGCCCCATACCCTCCATCCCCATACCCGGCCCCTGCATCAGCGTCTACCGCACCTGCCCACGCACTCCTGTCGAAAAACTCCTCCCTGAATGCCCAAGAGCTGTTGGCATCCTGTGCGTCACTCCTCCTCTTCTCCTCTCCCCGGCCTCCCTGCCCTCCCTTCTCTGCATCTCCTCCATCCCCTCTCCCCCGCCCTTGTAAGTGCACTTGCGCATGTGCAGGTGCCGCTCTTTGCGCCTGCACCTGCGCCTGCGCCTGCGCCTGTGCCTGTGTCTGTGACTGGGTTGCTGCAGCCCTCCAAGGCCCAGCAGTTCCATCTCTTTTGCCTGCCTCGCAGCTACCAGCAGCGACACCACCACCACCACTGCCAGCAGCAGCCGTTGTTGGTGCTGACGTGGGCGTGCATGATTGGAAGGGAGAGAAATCATCGTCATCATACTCCACCCGCGTTCCCTGGTCGCCCAACCCACTCATATCCCTCTCCATCTCTTCCAACCTCCCCCTTCTCCCTGCTACACCTCGCCCCTCTGTGCTCCCTCCTCTGCTTCTGCTACCGTCCCCCCTCTCCTCTTCCCCATCCGCCTCCTCTCCTTCGGTTTTGGAAAGAAGCAATGAGTCTTCCCGGGCAGCTTGCCCGGGCAGCTGGAAGAAATAACTGCGGCCGGAGCGGGCAGCAGGGGCAGCAGGGGCAACAGAAGCACCAGCAGCAGCAGTGGCGGCGGGAGCAGGAGGGTTGGCAGAGAGGAAGGCGGAAGTGAGGTAGGAGGGGAAGGGTGAGTCAGCGAGCACTGACGTGTCGTGAGATGATTGGCTCTTGTGGAGGGAGGAGTAATGGGGAGCGGGAGGGTCATCATAAGCACCAACTATAGAGGCGATAGTGGCTGTGGGGTCAGTGGTGGTGGTGCTGCTGGTAGTGGCGCTGGTGGCATTAGCGTTGGAAGAAGTGAGGGAGGGTGAGAAGGAGAAGAGGTCCCCGAGTGTACCAAGGAAACTGAGAGGAAAGGGAAATTGAGGAGGGGGAGGGGGGAGGTGTGGGGGAGGCTTAGTAGAGCTGAAAAACACTTACTGTAGCAAGCAATCACTTGATCGAATAAAGGATTAACAGCTGAAGACGAAAATGGCAAGGCACTCAAAGAAGCTGATGCATGCATATCCCGTGCTATGGCTCCTTGGGTGTCTATGCTATGTGGTATAGATTGGATTGGATAAACCACGTGACGAACGTTTCAATCTACATCCATACCCCATGCTATGTGGATGTAGAGACGAGCGTTTCAATCTACATGCATACCCCATGCTATGTAGATGTAGAGACGAGCGTTTCACTCTACATCCATACCCCATGCTATGTCTCCTCGGGTGTCTGTGCTGCTGTTGATGTTGCTGCTGCTGCTCCATCTGCTTCTCCATCTCTCGTGCTGCCGCCTGCCTCCTCTGCCGACTCACCTTCTCTCCCACCTCCTCCTGTGGATAACACAGGGGAGTGGGATACATACGGAATAATGAACTTAGAAAGGCACTCGTTTGAACCGTCTTGTCAGAAGGAGATTCGTGAGAGACGATTGCTACTAAGAAACCTCCCCCGTGGCACCCTGCGCCATCTGTTTACCCCTCCCTTACCCTCGCACACTCTGTGTGCTCTACTTTGTCTGTCAACCCTCTCCTCTCCTCTCCTCTCCTCTCCTCTCCTCTCCTCTCCTCTCCTCTCCTCTCCTCCCCCCTCCTCTCCCCTCCTCTCCTCTCCTCTCCTCTCCTCTCCTCTCCTCTCCTCTCCTCTCCTCTCCTCTCCTCTCCTCTCCTCTACTCTCCTCTCCTCTCTTCCCCTCTCACCTGTTGCCGTCGCACCCTCTCCTCCTGCACAGCTGCTTTCATCTTCAAGCGCCTCTCCAGTGCTCGAATCTCCTCCCTCACCCGCACCAGCCTCTCCCATTCCACCCGCACCAACGCCAGTCGCTCACTCGTCCCCGTTCCCCCTGCCTTCCCTTTGGCCCTGCCCGTCCTTGCCGCTCTCCCTTCCATTGAACCTGCTTCTGTCGAATGCGCCACGTGTTGCTTTGCCGACTTTGCTCCAACCCCTTCTTCCCCGTCTCCCCTTCCCCCCTCTGCCCTTTCACCCTCGCCCCCTGTCCTCGCTCCCCTTACTTCCTCCTCTGCTCTTTCCCCTGCCCTTTCTCTTGCTGCTGCTGTGTCCTCTGCACCCTTGGCTGCCTTCCCAGCAGCTGAGTGTGAGCGCGAGTGAGAGTGAGAGCGTGAGTGAGAGTGTGAGTGTGAGTGTGCATGTGAGTGTGAGTGAGAGTGAGAGTGAGAGTGTGAGTGTGAGTGAGAGTGTGCATGTGAGTGTGAGTGAGAGTGTGCATGTGAGTGTGAGTGAGAGTGTGCATGTGAGTGTGAGTGAGAGGGAGCATCTCCCCTAAGCCCCGCACTCTCTGCTTCCACCACTCTCATCAGTCGCTCCACAATCTCATCCACTGATAAGAAATCCTGAACGGAAGAATGCAGAGAAGCAAAGGGAGAGGAGCAAGGGAGGGAGGGAAGCACGAGAATGAAAGAGTGCGACTGACCCACCACTTGCATCAGTCGTTCCTCTATCTCGTCCACAGATAAGAAATCCTGTCACAAATGAAACGTCAAAGGCGGAGGGAAGGAGATCGAAGGGGTGTGTGTAAGGATGACAGGGGTGTGAGTATGGGTGTGAGTGTGAGTGTGAGTGTGAGTGTGGGTGTGAGTGTGGGTGTGTATTCACAGTACATAAGAATCAATGGGAGCTTTTTCTTTGAACCCAACCCTCTCATCAGTCAATTTGCTCCACAGTCTCATCCACAGATATAAAAGTCCAGTCGGAAAATAATGCCGCAGAGAAGCAACGGAAGGGGAGAAAACTCAAGAGCATGCAGACAAGTAAACATCAACGTCCCCCTCACCTGGTTCAGCGCCTTTAACTCCCTCTCTATGACCTTCAGCCCCCTCAGTTCCTAGCCAAGTGCGCTCACCCACACACACAAAGACAGCCAAACTAACCATCAGCACCTCACCTGGTTCAGCGCCTTTAACTCCCTCTCCATTGTTGTAAATGTATCTTATATACAACATACATAGGCTAGAATAGGTGTAGTTCTTTATGTTCTTGGGGGGTTGGGTGTACACTCCAACCACACTTTGTGGTTGGGTCAAGATTTGGTTTGGTCTTGGTCCTTGGTTGGCACTTGCCAACATTTGGTCCTAAGGCCAACCAATCACAAGCTAGCAACATTGTGGGGTTCCCTACTCCACAAGGCATCTCACCCATTGGCCGACTTAGTGGCCAATAGGGTTTGCTCCTTCTTCACTCCTCTCTTCCTTGCATGCTTGTACTATAGAGCCTCCATGGCTCATTATTCAATCAATCTTGAATCCTATCATCCATCACCTTCAGCCCCCTCAGCTCCTTCTCCAGCCGCCATGTGCCCTATGCATCTGATGTGTAGATGCACCTGAGTCATAGTAACCTGCCCCTCCTCACCTGGTTCAGCGCCTTGAGTTCCCTCTCCATGACCTTCAGCCCTCTCAGTTGCTTCTCCAGCTGCCACGTGCCCTCACGATCTCCGCTGATATTTTTTCATCTAATTTCACGATGCAACTGACTGACTGAATCATAGCGACCTGCACCCCTCACCTGGTTCAGCGCCTTCAGTTCCCTCTCCATAACCTACAGCCCCCTCAGTTCCTTGCCAAGCACGCTCACCCACGCAAAGACACTCTATCAACCATCAGAATCCTCCTCACCTGGTTCAGCGCCTTGAATTCCTTCCATGACCTCGAGTCCTCTCAATTCCTTCTGCAGCTGTCATGCTCCTAATGATCTCCTCTGGTACCATCTGAAGATGCATCTGACTAAGTAATAACCAGCAGCACCCTCCTTCTCACCTGGTTCAGCGCCTTTAACTCCCTCTCCATGACCTTGAGACCCCTCAGCTCCTTCTCCAGCCGCCTCCTCGCCTCCTCCCTCTCCCTCGCCTCCCTCTCCACCTCCTCCATCTCGCCCATCTCCACCGCTCCCGACCCCTCTAGACGCCTCCCGACTTCGTCTGAAGAGTCGGAGTCGGAAGAGGGGACCAACACGCCTGGTGCCCTGCAAGGGGAGGGGAGGAGAAGGGGGAGGAACGGAAAAGGGGGAGGAGAGGAAAGGGGGGGGGGGGGGAAGGGGAGGAAAGGAAAGGAGAGAAGGTGGAAAGGAAAGAAGGAAGAGTGGAAGGATGAAGGGAGGGAGAGTGGAAGGCGAGAGGTGAAAGGGAAGGCCATGAGTGAAAGTAGTCAGGTGAGTAGTCAGTTCTGAGGCATTCCTCTCAAAGACTTCCAGCTTGCATGCAACACCACACCTCTCCTCCCGTATTCACTCACTCACTCACTCACTCACTCTCATACCCACTCGGTCACTTGCACCCACTCCCTCACTCACTCCTCATACCCACTCTCCCCCTCACACTCCCATCCCACTCACTCTGCAGCCACTTGGTGCCTGGTTGATGGCTCCAGGCACAGCCCCAGAAGAACCATGCTGGAGGGGTGGAGAGGGATAGAGAGGGGTGGACAGGGGTGCAGAGGAGTGGAGAGGGATGACTTCTGAGGTACCTCACAAGCTGCTTGGTTGATGGATCCAGGCACGGCACCAGCAGCACCATGCCGAAGGGTGGAGACGGGTGTCACCAGCAGCAACATTCACCCCTCAACACCCACACCCCTCTTAACCCTGCTACACCTCCTTCACCCCTCTTTTTCTTTACCCCTACGCACCCATCACCACCACAGAGACTCACCCCTGGGCCATGAAAGCAGCAGCTCGCGAATCAGGCTGCTGCAGCAGCCAGCTGGAGTGCCTCTTCCTGAATCCTGCACACCTTCTTACCCACCATCAGCACCGCTCTGAATCCCATTTCATACCCCTCTACAACCCTATTCACCACGCAAACACACTCACCCCTGGGCCATGAAAGCAGCGGCTCGCGACTCAGGCTGCTGCAGCAGCCAGCTGGAGTGCCGCTCCCAATCCCTCGCCCACATGCCGCACACCTCCTTACCCACCAGCACCGCTCTGCGCCGCCTCCGCCGCTGCCGGTGCCGCTGCCGCTGCGCCGAGCGCGGCGAGAGGGAGGAGGGGTCAACGTCAGGGTGGCGCTTGGAAGAGAGAGGGGGGAGCAGCGGCAGCCAGGCCAGCTCTTCCCTTAGAACCTGAGGAAGTAGGGGAGGGAGGGAGGAGAGAAGACGAAGCTTAGGACATGAGTGGGCGAGAGGGAGGAGGGGTCGACATCAGGGTGGCGCTTGGCGGAGAGAGGGGGAAGGAGCGAAAGCCAGGCAAGCAGCGAGTTCTTTCCGTAGGACCTGCGAGGGAAGAGGGAGCAGGGGACACAGTAGCACCCGCACATGCTGTCGAGACACATGCTGCCTGGGCACATGCTGTCCTGTCCAGGCACATGCTGCCCTGTCCAGGCACATGCTGTCGAGACACATGCTGCCTGGGCACATGCTGCCTGGGCACATGCTGCCTGGGCACATGCTGCCTGGGCACATGCTGCCTGGGCACATGCTGCCTGGGCACATGCTGCCTGTGCACATGCTGCCTGGGCACATGCTGCCTGGGCACATGCTGCCTGGGCACATGCTGCCCTGGGCACATGCTGCCTGGGGCCATGCTGCCCTGGGCACATGCTGCCTGGGCACATGCTGCCCTGGGCACATGCTGCCTGGGCACATGCTGCCTGGGCACATGCTGCCTGGGCACATGCTGCCTGGGCACATGCTGCCTGGGCACATGCTGCCCTGGGCACGGCAGACTGTCTGTAACCCTGACTGACTGCTGACCTCTCACCTCCACGGGCCCCTGGTACTTGGATACGCTGTCAAGCTGGGGGAAGGTGGGTGGGATTCCATCTGTACCTGCTGTTACCGCACTAAACCATCTGTCACCTTGACTGCTGCCTGCCTGCCTACACTGCTTGCCCTGCTCACCTCCACAACCACAAGCCCCTGGTACTTGGATATGCTGTCCAGCTGGGGGAAGGTGGGTGGGTTTCCATCTCCTGCTGTTACCGCACTAAACCATCTGTCACCTCCACAAACCCCTCACATCCACAAGCCCCTGGTACTCGGAAATCTTGTCCAGCTGGGGGAAGGTGGGTGGGAATCAAACCCCTGTTCCTGCTGCTACCGCATTGAAACATCTGTCACCTTCACTGATGCCTGGTCTCCTTGACAAGGCCCTCCTCACCTCCACAAACCCCTCACCTCCACGAGCCCCTGGTACTTGGAAATGTTGTCCAGCTGGGGGAAGGTGAAGATGATTGCTCCCTCGAAATGGCTGGGGGTGGGGGGGGGGTGAAGGGAGGTGGGGGGGCGCGGGGGAAGGTGGGAGAAGGGAGGAAGAGTGGGGAGGGAGTAGGGGAAACAGGGAATGATGGGGAAGGGAGGAAGAGTGGGGAGGGAGTAGGGGAAACAGGGAATGATGGGGAAGGGAGGAAGAGTGGGGAGGGAGTAGGGGAAACAGGGAATGATGGGGAAGGGAGGAAGAGTGGGGAGGGAGTAGGGGAAACAGGGAATGATGGGGAAGGGAGGAAGAGTGGGGAGGGAGTAGGGGAAACAGGGAATGATGGGGAAGGGAGGAAGAGTGGGGAGGGAGTAGGGGAAACAGGGAATGATGGAGAAGGGAGGAAGAGTGGGGAGGGAGTAGGGGAAACAGGGAATGATGGGGAAGGGAGGAAGAGTGGGGAGGGAGTAGGGGAAACAGGGAATGATGGGGAAGGGAGGAAGAGTGGGGAGGGAGTAGGGGAAACAGGGAATGATGGGGAAGGGAGGAAGAGTGGGGAGGGAGTAGGGGAAACAGGGAATGATGGAGAAGGGAGGAAGAGTGGGGAGGGAGTAGGGGAAACAGGGAATGATGGGGAAGGGAGGAAGAGTGGGGAGGGAGTAGGGGAAACAGGGAATGATGGAGAAGGGAGGAAGAGTGGGGAGGGAGTAGGGGAAACAGGGAATGATGGGGAAGGGAGGAAGAGTGGGGAGGGAGTAGGGGAAACAGGGAATGATGGAGAAGGGAGGAAGAGTGGGGAGGGAGTAGGGGAAACAGGGAATGATGGGGAAGGGAGGAAGAGTGGGGAGGGAGTAGGGGAAACAGGGAATGATGGAGAAGGGAGGAAGAGTGGGGAGGGAGTAGGGGAACAGGGAATGATGGGGAAGGGAGGAAGAGTGGGGAGGGAGTAGGGGAAACAGGGAATGATGGAGAAGGGAGGAAGAGTGGGGAGGGAGTAGGGGAAACAGGGAATGATGGGGAAGGGAGGAAGAGTGGGGAGGGAGTAGGGGAAACAGGGAATGATGGGGAAGGGAGGAAGAGTGGGGAGGGAGTAGGGGAAACAGGGAATGATGGGGAAGGGAGGAAGAGTGGGGAGGGAGTAGGGGAAACAGGGAATGATGGGGAAGGGAGGAAGAGTGGGGAGGGAGTAGGGGAAACAGGGAATGATGGAGAAGGGAGGAAGAGTGGGGAGGGAGTAGGGGAAACAGGGAATGATGGGGAAGGGAGGAAGAGTGGGGAGGGAGTAGGGGAAACAGGGAATGATGGGGAAGGGAGGAAGAGTGGGGAGGGAGTAGGGGAAACAGGGAATGATGGGGAAGGGAGGAAGAGTGGGGAGGGAGTAGGGGAAACAGGGAATGATGGGGAAGGGAGGAAGAGTGGGGAGGGAGTAGGGGAAACAGGGAATGATGGGGAAGGGAGGAAGAGTGGGGAGGGAGTAGGGGAAACAGGGAATGATGGGGAAGGGAGGAAGAGTGGGGAGGGAGTAGGGGAAACAGGGAATGATGGGGAAGGGAGGAAGAGTGGGGAGGGAGTAGGGGAAACAGGGAATGATGGGGAAGGGAGGAAGAGTGGGGAGGGAGTAGGGGAAACAGGGAATGATGGGGAAGGGAGGAAGAGTGGGGAGGGAGTAGGGGAAACAGGGAATGATGGGGAAGGGAGGAAGAGTGGGGAGGGAGTAGGGGAAACAGGGAATGATGGAGAAGGGAGGAAGAGTGGGGAGGGAGTAGGGGAAACAGGGAATGATGGGGAAGGGAGGAAGAGTGGGGAGGGAGTAGGGGAAACAGGGAATGATGGAGAAGGGAGGAAGAGTGGGGAGGGAGTAGGGGAAACAGGGAATGATGGGGAAGGGAGGAAGAGTGGGGAGGGAGTAGGGGAAACAGGGAATGATGGAGAAGGGAGGAAGAGTGGGGAGGGAGTAGGGGAAACAGGGAATGATGGGGAAGGGAGGAAGAGTGGGGAGGGAGTAGGGGAAACAGGGAATGATGGGGAAGGGAGGAAGAGTGGGGAGGGAGTAGGGGAAACAGGGAATGATGGGGAAGGGAGGAAGAGTGGGGAGGGAGTAGGGGAAACAGGGAATGATGGGGAAGGGAGGAAGAGTGGGGAGGGAGTAGGGGAAACAGGGAATGATGGAGAAGGGAGGAAGAGTGGGGAGGGAGTAGGGGAAACAGGGAATGATGGGGAAGGGAGGAAGAGTGGGGAGGGAGTAGGGGAAACAGGGAATGATGGGGAAGGGAGGAAGAGTGGGGAGGGAGTAGGGGAAACAGGGAATGATGGGGAAGGGAGGAAGAGTGGGGAGGGAGTAGGGGAAACAGGGAATGATGGGGAAGGGAGGAAGAGTGGGGAGGGAGTAGGGGAAACAGGGAATGATGGGGAAGGGAGGAAGAGTGGGGAGGGAGTAGGGGAAACAGGGAATGATGGGGAAGGGAGGAAGAGTGGGGAGGGAGTAGGGGAAACAGGGAATGATGGGGAAGGGAGGAAGAGTGGGGAGGGAGTAGGGGAAACAGGGAATGATGGGGAAGGGAGGAAGAGTGGGGAGGGAGTAGGGGAAACAGGGAATGATGGGGAAGGGAGGAAGAGTGGGGAGGGAGTAGGGGAAACAGGGAATGATGGGGAAGGGAGGAAGAGTGGGGAGGGAGTAGGGGAAACAGGGAATGATGGAGAAGGGAGGAAGAGTGGGGAGGGAGTAGGGGAAACAGGGAATGATGGAGAAGGGAGGAAGAGTGGGGAGGGAGTAGGGGAAACAGGGAATGATGGGGAAGGGAGGAAGAGTGGGGAGGGAGTAGGGGAAACAGGGAATGATGGGGAAGGGAGGAAGAGTGGGGAGGGAGTAGGGGAAACAGGGAATGATGGGGAAGGGAGGAAGAGTGGGGAGGGAGTAGGGGAAACAGGGAATGATGGGGAAGGGAGGAAGAGTGGGGAGGGAGTAGGGGAAACAGGGAATGATGGGGAAGGGAGGAAGAGTGGGGAGGGAGTAGGGGAAACAGGGAATGATGGGGAAGGGAGGAAGAGTGGGGAGGGAGTAGGGGAAACAGGGAATGATGGAGAAGGGAGGAAGAGTGGGGAGGGAGTAGGGAAACAGGGAATGATGGAGAAGGGAGGAAGAGTGGGGAGGGAGTAGGGGAAACAGGGAATGATGGGGAAGGGAGGAAGAGTGGGGAGGGAGTAGGGGAAACAGGGAATGATGGGGAAGGGAGGAAGAGTGGGGAGGGAGTAGGGGAAACAGGGAATGATGGGGAAGGGAGGAAGAGTGGGGAGGGAGTAGGGGAAACAGGGAATGATGGGGAAGGGAGGAAGAGTGGGGAGGGAGTAGGGGAAACAGGGAATGATGGGGAAGGGAGGAAGAGTGGGGAGGGAGTAGGGGAAACAGGGAATGATGGGGAAGGGAGGAAGAGTGGGGAGGGAGTAGGGGAAACAGGGAATGATGGGGAAGGGAGGAAGAGTGGGGAGGGAGTAGGGGAAACAGGGAATGATGGGGAAGGGAGGAAGAGTGGGGAGGGAGTAGGGGAAACAGGGAATGATGGGGAAGGGAGGAAGAGTGGGGAGGGAGTAGGGGAAACAGGGAATGATGGAGAAGGGAGGAAGAGTGGGGAGGGAGTAGGGGAAACAGGGAATGATGGGGAAGGGAGGAAGAGTGGGGAGGGAGTAGGGGAAACAGGGAATGATGGAGAAGGGAGGAAGAGTGGGGAGGGAGTAGGGGAAACAGGGAATGATGGGGAAGGGAGGAAGAGTGGGGAGGGAGTAGGGGAAACAGGGAATGATGGGGAAGGGAGGAAGAGTGGGGAGGGAGTAGGGGAAACAGGGAATGATGGGGAAGGGAGGAAGAGTGGGGAGGGAGTAGGGGAAACAGGGAATGATGGGGAAGGGAGGAAGAGTGGGGAGGGAGTAGGGGAAACAGGGAATGATGGAGAAGGGAGGAAGAGTGGGGAGGGAGTAGGGGAAACAGGGAATGATGGGGAAGGGAGGAAGAGTGGGGAGGGAGTAGGGGAAACAGGGAATGATGGGGAAGGGAGGAAGAGTGGGGAGGGAGTAGGGGAAACAGGGAATGATGGGGAAGGGAGGAAGAGTGGGGAGGGAGTAGGGGAAACAGGGAATGATGGGGAAGGGAGGAAGAGTGGGGAGGGAGAAGGGGAAACAGGGAAATGGGGAAGGGAGGAAGAGTGGGGAGGGAGTAGGGGAAACAGGGAATGATGGGGAAGGGAGGAAGAGTGGGGAGGGAGTAGGGGAAACAGGGAATGATGGGGAAGGGAGGGAGGGTCTTGCTTGCCACCCAAACTGCTGGCTCCGCTTGAAATGACCGAGAAAAAATGAGTGGCAAGATGAACCCGGGGGTAAAAGGGAGGGATAGAGAGATGGGAGAAGGAAAATTGTGGGACAAAGGCCATGCCAGTCATACAAGATCACCATCCATACGCATGCGTTTGAAGAAGTGTTTTGAGACGTCTCAAAACACTTCTTGGCCATGCCAGTCATACAAGATCACCATCAATACCCATGCCATGCCATCATCACCACACCCCTAACACACCCATTCCATAGCCACCATCACAAGTATCCTCCCCCCACCACCCACGTCAGCAGCGTTGCCAGCCCCTCGTCCGCCTCGCTGGCGCCCTCCAATTGGAGGAACAGCCGTGTCGCCCTCCCAAGAGCCACAAAGAATCCAAAAACCGCCAGCTCAGCTTTCAAGCTCTCCCCTCCGCCTTCCCCCCCACCCCCCCACTCCCCCTCCCCCTCCCCCCACTCCTCAAAGATTTTCTCCCGGACCAAAGCTGCCCGCAGCTGCCGCTCCACCAGCTGCACCCAGAAGCGGCGCTCGCCGGGCAGCACGCGAAAGTTCAGGTGCCCACCCGCGCGCTGCCCGAAGTGCGAGAGGAACTCGGCGCGCAGCCCCGCCCGCACGGCATGGCGGTAGACATCATCTATGTCTGCTGCTCTTAGTAGGTGGTCGAAGAGATGGCGCAGCTGAAAGCATGGGAGATGGAGGGAGAGAAATGTGTGGATGGGGGAGGGGCGCGGGGGGAGGAGCAGAGGGAGAAACGAGTAGAGGATGGTGTGGCGGAGAATGGAGTAGACCGTACACGCGATACTACCACCACCCGCGTCCAACAATCCTGCCCCTCCTCCCTCCATCACTCACCTGCCCCTCCTCCCTCCACCGCTCACCTGCCCCTCCTCCCTCCACCGCTCACCTGCCCCTCCTCCCTCCAGCACCCACCTGGTCCTCCAGCGGCACGCAGAAGATACCACCTGCTTACTGTAGACGCTGTTATTCCCTCTTCCCCTCGTCCTCACCTCCCCATCCTCACCTCCCCATCCTCACCTCCCCATCCTCACCTGCCCATCCACCCTTCAGCACCCACCTGGTCCTCCAGCAACACGGAGAATGCAGCGCAGCCAACAGCCTCGGGGGGAGCAAAGAAGCGCACGGCGCCGATGATCTGGAAGAGCAGCAGGAACAGCGCCATGTCACTGTCCGCCAGCCTGGCATGTGCCACGCTGGCAGCTGTCTGCGCGCCACGTGGCACGAGGGATGCTGACGTGGCGGCGGGTGAGAGAGCGGCATGAGGAGGGTGGGGTAGCCCGTCGTCGAGCCCGGAGACCTTAGCGGACAGCTGCACGTCCTGGCTGGATGGGGGAGGAGGGGGAAAGAGAGGGGCGGTGGAGTGTGGTGCAGTGCGGTGCTGGGTTTAGCGGGGTGGGTGGGGCAGCCCGTCGTCCAGTCCAGAGGCTTTGGCGGATAGCTGCACGTCCTGGCTGGATGGGAGATGGTGGGAGGGGGAGGGGCAGAGTGCGGTGCAGTGCGGTGCTGGGATGAGTGGGGTGGGGAGGGGTAGCCCGTCGTCTAGTCCAGAGGCCTTGGCGGATAGCTGCACGTCCTGGCTGGATGGGGGAATGGGGAGTTGAGAGGTGAGAGTGAGATGCGATTGGGGCATTGGGGCATATTGGTGGCGGAGTGAGGTGTGGTGCAGTGCGGTGAGGGGTTGAGCGCGGTGGGGTAGCCCGTCGTTGAGTCCAGAGGCCTTGGCAGATAGCTGAACGTCCTGGCTGGTCGGGGGAGGAAGGGGGGAGCGAAGGTAAGGGGGAGATGCAGGTGGGGCATATCGGCAGTGGAGTGCGGCACAGTGCGGTGCTGGGTTTAGCAAGGGAGAATTTTCCTCATCAGGTGGGGGATAACAATTGGGGGGGCAATAAGGGCTCATGCCTCCAACCTAACCAACCAGCTCACATCGTGGCAGTGATGGCATATCGGTGCAGCACGGTGCAGCACAGTGCAGCACGGTGCAGCACAGTGCAGCACAGTGCAGCACGGTGCAGCACGGTGCAGCACCGTCAGAAGCGCCTCAGACAATAACACACTGCCTGACTCACTCACGAGGGGAGAGAGCACATGATGATTCCAACCCCACCAGCTCACATGATGGCAGTGATGGCGTAGCGGTGCAGCACGGTCACCTCAAACAACAACACACTCAAGCAAGGAGAGGACAATGAAGCCTCATGCCCCCAACCCGACCTAACCAGCTCACATGGCGGCAGTGATGGCGTAGCGGTGCAGCACAGTGAGCATCGTCAGCAGCGCCTCAAACGCCCCTGGATACGCCCTCCCCCAGAACCACCCGTCCATCCCCTTCCCATCCGCCTCCCCCCCCACTTGCTGCTGCTCCCTCCCCTGCAGCTCCCTCTGCTGCGCCAACTCATATTGCATGAAGCTCTCTAGGGGTTCGCATAGACGCGCCAGGCTGAATAGAACCCACGTGGACGCGTCACTGCCGCCCGAATCGGCCCCTCTGCCGCCCCCACTGCCGCCCGCCCTGCTCTGCCCCTCCGCCTCCTCGCCCTCCCCCCTGCCCTGCTCTTCCCCCTTCCCTGCCCCCTCCCTCACCCTCTCCATCTCCCGCCCCTCCTCCCCCTCCTCCGCCCCCCACTCCTCCTCCTCGTCTTCCTCGCTACAGCCGCTGTTGCTGTAGCTGCTGCTGCAGCTGCTGCTGCTCCTGCGGCGGGTGAGGCGGGCTGTAGCAGGGACGTCCGAGACGGCAGCTGCAGCAGGGGCGGTCCCAGGGGCTGCGGCGGCTGTAGCAGCAGGTGGTGCAGCGCTGACGGTGCGAGTGATGAGCTCCAAAGCCGCTTTCAGCAGAGCCACCACTGCCGCCTGAACCACGCAAGGAGCATGCAAGCATGGGAGCATGGGAGCACCGGGAAGGGCACAAGGGGCGGCATGAGGAACAGGGTTCCAGAATCCGGACTAATCTCAAGGCCATCCTCAGAAATGGCTGTGTGCGGTGCGAGTGATGAGCTCCATGGCAGCTTTCAACAGTGCTACCACTGCCGACTGAAACACCCAAGGAGCATGCATGCATGGGGAATGGCAGGAGGAGCGGGGGTGAGCTGACCTCACAACCCCCCCCCCCCCCCCCCCCCGCCCCCCCCTTCACTTGGCTTTTGAAGCTTCACAGAAACCAGCTCTTTCCTCAGCCCTCTTCACTGTGCCCGTCCCACTCCCCTTCACCGCACTGCACACCTGGCATCCCACGCGCTTCACCCATTCGTCCGTCTCTCCGCCGCCCGCCCCCGCGAGCGCGAGCCAGCTGCCCACGCGGAAGAAATCCCCTGCCGCGCCCCCCTTGCTGCGGAACCCCCGCACCTCCTCCTGCACCTTCCGCGACGCCTCCCCCAAAGCCTCCGCCAAGTCCCGCCACGACGACTTTCTCCGCCCGGGGGGACCGCTAGCTCCGCCGCTTCCGCCGCTTGCGCCAGTAAGTCCGCCTAACCCGAGCCCCAGCAGCGCGGATCCCCCCGCGACTTGCTGCGGAGCTAGCTCCTCCTCCTCGAATTCCTTCCGCCAGTCCCACGGTTCACCCATCTTCACCGCACCCAACTCCTGCTCAGATTCCTCCGCTTCGCCTTCCGCAAAATCCCGCGCGAAAGCGGATAAGCGGATTCGCGCGGTCAGCGCAGTCAGCGCGTTCCACCAGCGGGGTTGCTGCCAGCGCAAGTCCGCGGAGTCGCGGCGGAGATATCCGCGCGGAGCGGCCCAGGCGGAGGCGGAAAGCGCGGACGGCGCGGACTCGTGGCGGTGGAGCTGACCAGGCAGCGGCGGAACAACGTCCGCGGGAGACGCGCGGTCGCGTAGAGAGGGGAAACAATCTGAGGTTGCTCCTGAGGGATCGCGCGGCTCGGCAGAGACGGAGGGATTGTAGGTGCGCGGAGGGCGGTGGGGAAGCTCTAGACCCACTTCCCCAGTCGCACCGACAATGGGCTGAGCAAGGTACGACATGTGCACCCTCCACCAGATTAATGCAGGGGAAGGTGGATCCGTGTCGGTCGGTTTTTATTAATCAATAATTATGAGTTCCTCAGGTTATCAGGTCCCATGATCTAGCGGTTATGATGTCAGACTCTGAATCTGAATGCCCGAGTTCAATTCTCGGTGGGACCTTTTGCCCTACTACCTCCTGTCAGCTCAGTTTTTGTGGTTGAGAATTCGACACGTGGATGGATTTCAATGGCTCCTCCAGATTCTGTCAGCGGCTCGGCTCTGCGGCACGTGCCTAACTGGTCAGCAGCGGTGGTCAGGTACACAAGATGCCCAACCCCTGCACGCGAAATTGCCTCGCACGTTCCAGAAACCTTGCACACGAAGGTTTTTTCCCGGGCAGTTGCACCCACGTTACAAGCACGTCAACCAATACGAACCACAGAAACAGAAGAGACCGAAGTCAAACAGTCAACGGTGAGTTACAAAATTTTGCTATAAGCCCTTTTTGCCCGACGCGAATTGACGAAACCTCCACGAAATGCATGAATCACTTAAGCGCCCCCTTCACAAGGCAACCTTGGGTTAGTCAAACGGACATCGTGTGTACAGGACGACGATCTGTCCCTACTCGCACAGGACGGTTAGATCCTTGAGTGACCGTCACATGGACTTCTTGAAATGGAGGGGGCTCTGAATGAAAGATTCGCTAAGGGACTACTTCTCATACGGTATTACATTACATAATTCGTTCACTGATATGAACTTCTCACTCATCGCGCAGCGCTCCCGAGATAATCGCACGTGCTGGTGGGAGGAAATGACAAACCGCGGTGTTTTCTAGTTTTTGATTCCAATGGGCAGTGGTTTTGACCTCGCATCGCCTCGCGTTCGCGCCCGATTCCCACGGGCAGTTTTGTTTTCTCAATACAGTTTCACGCACGACAAAAAAAATAAACCCTCTTGGGAAAGGCGTGCGAACTAGGGAGGCATCAACCCTAAACACCTTGCCACATTGTGTTTAGGGTTGATGCCTCCCATGTTATATGTCGATACCGAGAGGGTTTATATTTGTTTACCCCGTAAAATAACTTACCATGTGCGTTCACGCTCACAAACTGCCCGTGGGAATTCAGCGCGATCGCGGGGCGATCCGTGGTCAAAACCACTGCCTATTGGAATCGAAAACAAGAAAAGACAGCGGTTCGTCATTTCCTCTGCTGGTGGAGACCGCGGCGACGGTGGGCGACGGTAGCGACGGTGTCGCATGGGGTTGCGCAACGCAGCTGTTCTCCGCGCGCATGCCGCTCCTTCCCCGTCCGCGCGCACCCCCGCGGGCCCCAATACCGCTAGTAGCACTAGCGAATCACCACCTCTCGCGGCGGAACCGAGCCCGTCCCCATACCACTCGCTACTAACCCTCGCGACGCACCGCGTCGTCGCGCTCATTCTCCTCGCGGCCGTCGCGGCGTGCGTCGCGGCGGGGCTCCTCGCCTCTCGCGCGCGCAGCCCCGCGCAACTACCGTGGGCGGAAACGGCGGCTGGAGCGGAAAACTCAGGAAGCGGCGGGAAAATTTCGGCGCAAGACGCGTGGGAGCAGCAGCGGCAGGTGTATCGCGACGAAGTAACGCGCGCCGTGGCGCGCGGGGAACGGTACTACCTGCTATCCTCCGCCACTGACCGTTGCGTGGGGCAGTCGCACTGGTCGTGGTCGCTGCGCTGCGCGGCGGCGGAGGCGAAGGCGCTTCGGCGCGCGCTGGTGTTGGTGACTGACCGTTGCTTGCACGGGGCGCACACGCGGACGGGCAGGGACGAGCATGGACACGTGGGGCTGTACTATAACCTCACCACCATGATGCGGTGCGGGGGGTGTGGTGCAGTGGGGTAGGGTGTGGTGAGGTGGGGTTGAGTGTGGTACGGTGGGGTTGAGTGTGGTACTGTGTGACTGAAAGGGCGTGTGCTGTGGGTAATGCCGGGCGGGACGAGCATGGGCACGTGGGGCTGTATTACAACCTCACCACCTTGATGAGGTGCAGTGCGGTGCGATGGGGTTGGGTGTGGCTGTACCATAACCTCGTGTTTTTAGTCGTCTCAAAACATGCTGATATTGATGAGCATGAATTGGTGGGGCTGTATCATAACCTCACCACCCCACCATGATGCGGTGCGGTGCGGTGCGGTGCGGTGAGGTGCATTTCTTGGCTCGCTTCGGCGCATGGGAGTGGGACGCCATGCCCATGCTTTAAGCTCCCCCATCCCTTTCCCCCTTCATCCCCCCCACCTCTCCCCCCCAGGCAGCAGCCAGTAGTTCTCATGGAGCGTTTCCTGGCTCGTTTCGGCGCATGGGAGTTTGACGTCATGCCCATGCGCAAGTTCCCCATCGGCCCGCGCACGGGCGAGCTAGCAGCATACAGGAACGTGTTTCTGGTGGTGCGCGCACCGGAGGAGGGGCAGTATGGGTTCATGCTGTGCGACAAACAGCACAAGCAGGTGCGTGGAGAGGCGTGAAAGAGTGGGATGAGTGGAACGTGGGAGAGAGGGGCAGTACGGGTGCATGCTGTGTGACAAGCAGCACAAGCAGGTAGGTGTGACTGCAGCACAAACAGCACAAAAAGGTGGGTGTGACTGCAGCTCAAACAGCACAAGCAGGTGCGGGATATGGGAGCGGAGGGGCAAGACGCACAAACATGTAGGTGTCCGAACCAACTAGAAAACTGATGTGGGTGCAGGTGCGTGGTTTGGAGGGACCTCACGAGTTCGTGTGCGTGTGCTATGGGGCGTAGTTCTGAGTTGGTGTTTTGAGACGTCTCAAAACACTTCTTCATACACGTGACTTGTGAGTCGACTCAAATGTCACCTCGGGTGCTATGGGGTGGAGTGCTGAGTTGGTTCAGACACCTTGCTGCTCTTCCCCAACATGCATGTTGCCTCCTCCATGCAAATGCTCAACCATCCTCATCACGCTAGGACTAACGGGAGGGGATATACGTACACATGCTTGCTTGCATGCGCCTGAGCGCCCATGCACATGCTTGCTTGCATGCGCCTGAGCGCCCATGCACATGCTTGCTTGCATGCGCCTGAGCGCCCATGCACATGCTTGCTTGCATGCGCCTGAGCGCCCATGCACATGCTTGCTTGCATGCGCCTGAGCGCCCATGCACATGCTTGCTTGCATGCGCCTGAGCGCCCATGCACATGCTTGCTTGCATGCGCCTGAGCGCCCATGCACATGCCTCCATGCACTTGGATAAAAGTTTTGCAGTCTGACGTGCCCATCCCTGCATCTGTGTGCTGTCCAATCACATGTCTCCATCCCCATCCCCAGAACCAGGACAACATCACGTTCGACCCTGAGTTCCTCTTCCCGTAACGGTGCATTCACCCTTATCAATACGATGCATTCTCAATGCATTCTCAATGCGTGCACCTGTGCCGCTGCACCCTGCCCCCATCCATCCATCCCCAGAACCAGGACAACATCACGTTCGACCCCGAGTTTCTCTTCCCTAATGACGCATTCACCCGCCTCGCACGCGCCATGGCTGATTCTATGGGCGGCCCACACCGCTTTGACTATGTGCACGTGCGGCGAGGGGACAAGCTCAATGCAACCCGCTGGCCTCATTTGGACCATGACACACGGCCCGAAGCGTGAGTGCCTGCTCTCCCTCTTCCCCATGCCATGGCTAGAAGTGTCCTGGGCGGGCAGCACCGCTTTGACTACGTGCACGTGCGGCGGGGGGACAAGCTCAACGCTACAAGATGGCCCCATTTGGACCATGGCACGCGGCCCGAAGCGTGAGTGTCCTATTGAAGCCCTATTGAATTTGCACCGTTTCTGGTTTGATTTGAAGTGGTGACTCCCATATAGCTGGTCGCAGCAGCACCGCTACGTCCACCCTCACACACCCTATCCAGTGCAACAGATCTCCCACTGAGTCGACTCACTGCTCCCTTGTTCTCCCCCACCCCTCTTGGCCTCCCTTGTTCTCCCCCACCCCTCTTGGCCTCCCTTGTTCTCCCCAACCCCTCTTGGCCCCCCTTGTTCTCCCCCACCCCTCTTGGCCTCCCTTGTTCTCCCCCACCCCTCTTGGCCTCCCTGTGTCGCTTGCTCTGCCTTGTCCCTGTCTCCCAGCCTCCTGCAGAAGCTCCCATCGCTCGTCCCTCCAAACAGCACTCTCTACATCGCCACCAACGAGCCAGATCCCCACTTCTTCGATCCCCTCAAAACCGCATACACCATGCACAGAGAGTCGGATTTCGCATCTCTCTGGGCCGAAGGGTCGGCGTGGGAAGCAGAGATGAGGGAGGTTGCAGCCTCGGTGGGTGTGGCAGTGGGGGCGAGAGTGGAGTTTGACAGTGAAATGCAGGTGCTGGTGGACTATGCGATCAAGAAAGTTGCGAGGTGGACGGTGGAGACGTTTAACGACCTCACGGATGACCCCAAGGACGGTGAGATTGGTGGAGAGTGGTGGGAAGGTGTTTAGATGTGGTGGGGAGGTGGTGAGATGCGGTGGAGAGTGGTGGGCTGGAGGTGGGGAGTTTGATAGTGAGATGCAGGTGCTGGTGGACTATGCAATCAAGAAGCTCGCGAGGCGGACGGTCGAGTCGTTTAACGACCTGACTGATGACCCCAAGGACGGTGAGATGCGGTGGGGAGCGGTGGGGTGCGGTGGAGAATGGTCGGGAGGTGATAAGATGCGGTGAAGAGTGGTGAAGAGGTGGTTGGTGGAGTTTGGCAGTGAGATGCAGGTGCTGGTGGACTATGCGATCAAGAAGCTCGCGAGGCGGACAGTGAAGACGTTTAACGACCTGACTGATGATCCCAAGGATGGTGAGAGGAGGAGGTAGTTAAATGCGGTGGGAAGTGGTGGGAGGTGGTTGGGGGAGTTCGACAGTGAGATGTAGGTGCTGGTGGATTACGCGATCAAGAAGGTTGCGAGGAGGCGGTTGAGACGATTAACGATCTCACAGATGATCCTAAGGACGGTGAGATGCGTGGGGGAGCGGTGGGATGGCGGAGGGATGCGGTGGGGAGTGGTGAGTTGCAGTGGAGAGCTGTGGGGAGATGCGGTGGGTTGAGATACCTTGCCCTACCTTGCTCTACCTTTTCTTGCCTTTCTCTAGCGTGCCCTACCTTGCTCTACATTGCTCTACCTTGCTCTAACGTGACTTCATCTTCCAGTGTACTTCCTTCCTGCCCATGTCCCATTTCCTCTCTTCTTTCCATCCCTCCCACTCCACACCAGTGCTTCCCCCCCATTTCCGTCCGCGCCACATTTTGTTACCTCCACTTCATCCCCTTTCCTCATTGCGTTGAAACTCTTCGCGTTCTCATCTTTCCCCACTGCATTCCCACTCCAATGCCTTCCCTGATAGGTGTTGTAGGCCCTTAGCACGCGAGGTCACAGGTGTCGTGGGGCCTTTAGGGCACGGGGTGATAGGGGCAACACGGTGTAGTACGGTAGCCCATGTAGTTGAAGCTGTTGTTAAGCTAATCGGAGACGCTACGTTGAAAATCTAGATAACGATTGTTTTGTGAGCTATATACGATGGTTGTTGTGCTGCTCTGAATTGTGTTAACGTGTTTTGCCACGCTTTGCTATATGGGTGTGGGGAGCACTATTTGGGATAGAACTTGTGGACCTTGGTTTTATCATTAGTTATAACTGCAATTAGAATAAGCCGAAATAGTGTATATTAACTAAATCGAGCGGAACCGGGAATCCGGAGCAGGTCAAACGCAGTTTCTTTGGTTCCGATTGGGCCTAGTCGGACCAGCCGTGCCAAGCAAGGGTCACGTCACAACCATCATTGTCCTCGCCTTACGAATTTCACATGTGCGACCCTTGGGAGAATCTCCAACCACAAACGGTCGTTCGCGAAACGTTGTCGTAGAGGTTACGCCTAAGGAGAATAGCAAATCTGCGATTTTGACGAGCGTCGCCATGAGTAGATCGGGATTCGAGGACATTTTTCGCCAGAAACATAATCCTCCCACCCTCCCTGACTACAATCATTTGCTAGCGGCTCTGCATCCTCAATCACAATAATCGTCGTTCTTCAGCCACCATAACAGCCACATTAGACACCGTGAAGCCTGATTGTCAGGGAATTCTCGTTCCGAGGCTCATTGCCCCTTGCTTTGCGACAATAGAAGCCGATCCCAATCCTTAGCTAGCTTTCATGGCTCATTCACGACACCTCCATACAAGCGAGCTTCGCGCTTTTCTGCTCTCCGTCGCGATCGTACTGATTGTGGTACTACCATTAGCGCGCGCTCAACAGCGGTGCTCGAGCTCCACGCCGTGTGACCCGCCGAGCCTATGCTGCAGGTTCAATTGAGACGCCTCGCTCCTTTCCCCTTCCTGTCTGAGTCGTTTTTATTAATTTACAACCTTTCAGTCCTTAGGTGCATTCGGAACACACATTCTAATCATTTTCAGAATTACGCTCGGGACAGGCAGTCATTTTATAGCCCGTTCACCCATCTTTCAAGATCATGTTTGCATTCACGGAGGCCTCTCATTATTTCGCCTTCTTTTGTTTCACCTCTCTTTCACCCGCTCTTTCCTTGACCCTTTTTCCCCTGCCTCGAACCTGTGCCCTCAGCGCGGCTGGCTACTGTGGAAGCAGTGACGCCTACTGCGGTACGGGATGTCAGGACGGGCTGTGCAGCCTTGGTGAGAAACGATTCTGTTGATTTAGATGATCCGGATAATCTGGATCGATATGATGCATATTATTTAGAATGTTATTTAGACGAAATACGAATAATTCAATCGATTTAGGAAACTCAGTTACGACAATTCATGCAAATTTTATTCTTTGGATAATCAGCGTGTAACTTTCTCCACATGCTCTTTCATATTCATTCCCTCTTATGCTCCATGCATATAGCATGCATACACAGCGCAGTAGTACATTTGCATGCACACACTGTGCGTACGTCCATGATGCATACACACAGTATCCATTCATCCATTCATTCGCTCACAATGCCGCATTACTGTCCCTCACCAAATGTCTTCCGTGTGTGATGCCAGCAACGACAACTCAGCAGTTCTGCTCCAGCTCCTCGCCGTGTAACCCGCCAAGCCTATGCTGCAGGTGAGTTCAGCTCTTGAGAAGTCTCACAACCTGAGCCTATGCTGCAAGTCACTTTGAGTCTTGACAAGTCTCACAATGCTGCAGGTCACTTTGAGTCTTGACAAGTCTCACAATGCTGCAGGTCACTTTGAGTCTTGACAAGTCTCACAGTGCTGCAGGTCACTTTGAGTCTTGACAAGTCTCACAATGCTGCAGGTCTGTTTGAGAAGTCTCACAACCTGAGCCTATGCTGCAGGTCAGGTTGAGTCTTAAGAAGTCTCACAACCTGAGCCTATGCTGCAGGTCACTTTGAGTCTTGAGAAGTCTCACAACTTGAGCCTATGCTGCAGGTCACGTTGAGTCTTGACAAGTCTCACAATGCTGCAGGTCTGTTTGAGACGTCTCACAACCCGAGCCTATCATGCTGCCGTCGCTCCTCTACCTGCCTCTTCCTGGTCATGTCGTGCCGTTGGAACACATTTTCTTCATCTACCTACCAGTTCCAAGGCCTCGCATCCCTTCCCCTTCTGTTCTTTCACCTCCCTTCCTGCTCTTTCCTCCAGCCTGTTTTCTCTGCCTCCTCCCTCACCCTCTCTCTCCTGCCTCCTTCCCGCCCTCTTTTGCCCGCAGCCAGTATGGCTGGTGTGGAAGCAACGACTCCTACTGCGGCACGGGATGCCAAAACGGGCCGTGCTCTGGTGAGGATGATGGTTCAGATGAGTCAGACTATCAAGATGCTCCGGTGAGGATGATGGTTCAGATGAGTCAGACTATCAAGATGCTCCGGTGAGGATGATGGTTCAGATGAGTCAGACTATCAAGATGCTCCGGTGAGGATGATGGTTCAGATGAGTCAGACTATCAAGATGCTTCGGTGAGGATGATGGTTCAGATGAGTCAGACTATCAAGATGCTCCGGTGAGGATGATGGTTCAGATGAGTCAGACTATCAAGATGCTCCGGTGAGGATGATGGTTCAGATGAGTCAGACTATCAAGATGCTCCGGTGAGGATGATGGTTCAGATGAGTCAGACTATCAAGATGCTCCGGTGAGGATGATGGTTCAGATGAGTCAGACTATCAAGATGCTCCGGTGAGGATGATTCAAATGATTGCGGGAAATGAAACGATTTTTGAGGCGCCTCAAAAGTTTAGGGGCGCCTCAGAACGGGCCGTGCTCTGGTGAGGGCGATTTTGATGACTGAGACGCTTTGGATGATTTGGTAGTCAAGTTTGTACAGCTCAGATGATTCAGAATATATTGGGAAACAAAAAAAAAAAAAAAAAAAAGTGATTTGGATTGTTTCTCTTCACCTCGCCTCCTCCTTACCCCCCACTCCGACATAACTCCACCTCCCATCTTTTTCCCCACCTCCACTTTCCCCTCCTCTCCTTCAATTCACCTCCGCCTTTCCCCCACCTTCCATCTCCTTCCCCACCAGGCGGCTCAGGAGGGAAGTCCTCTGTATCCACGGGGGTGGTGGTGGGGGTGGTGGTGGGAGCGGTGCTTCTGCTCCTGGGCGTCGTCCTTTTGCGGTGTTCTGGTATCAGAGAAGGCGCAGGGCTAAGTCAGCAGCAGATGAAGGTAAGTGAAGGCGCGCGAGGGGGTTCACCATGGGGGTTATGGGTAAATGCAGGGCTTATGGGAACCAATAGGGGATTTACCGTATATTACGGGCTACGGATCTACGGAAAACTGAAGGATAACTGAAAGAATTACGGACGCATGAGCGGCTCATAGATGCAAAAATCGTGTTCACTGAGTTGCCTTAGGACTTGTATCCATATTTTTTGCATTCATGGGTCATTGCTGTTGCCTTAGGATGTGTTGCTTTAGGTCTTTCTTGATATTGTCCCTCCTGATCTCTTCCAACCCCTTTGCACTCCCGTCCCTACACCTGGTACTGCCACTCGTGCATCATTTCTCCAGAATCAGCAAAAGCAGGAGTAGCAGCAACAGCAACAACAGAAGCAACACCAACACCACCAGCAGCAGGAGGAGCGGGGATACGAGGTCCTGTGCAGTGCCAAAGCTACCCCTTACCTGACGTCCTATGGGCAACTAACAACTGGGCTGAGGCGAACAGGCTTGGCAGGGGCGGGTTCGGAGAAGTGTTTAAGGGTGTGTCACCTCATGACCCATCAGTGCTGTGGGCTGTGAAGAGCGCCATAGTAATCACCAACGACAACTTTCGCCGAGAGGTGCGTGGTGCGGTGCGGTGGGGTGGGGTGGGTTTGGGGACGTGTTCAAGGGAGTGTCGCACCACGACCCATCAGTGCTGTGGGCTGAAATGCCCGCCATAGTAATCACACAACGACCACTTTCGCCGAGAGCTGCGTGGTGAAACATCTCCAGATGCCTTCAAAGAATCACATCATCCTCATAATTACCCCCCCCCCCCCCCCCCCCCCCCTCCCCCCCCCTCTCTGCTCTCCCCCTTCTTTTTTGAATTTTTGCCACGCCATGGCAGATCCATGAGGTGCCATCAAAGAACCACGTGAATCTCGTTCGCTCGCTGCTCGGGTACTGCGCCCCCTCCCTCCCCCTCCTTCCTCCCTCCCCCTCCTTCCTCCCTCCCCCTCCTTCCTCCCTCCCCCTCCTTCCTCACTCCCCCCTTCCTCCCCCCGTCAGATCCATGAGTTGGCATCAAAGAACTACTGCGCCCCCTGCTGAGGTACTGCGCCCCCTGCTGGGGTACTGCGCCCCCTGCTGAGGTACTGCGCCCCCTGCTGGGGTACTGCGCCCCCTGCTGGGGTACTGCGCCCCCTGCTGAGGTACTGCGCCCCCTGCTGAGGTACTGCGCCCCCTGCTGGGGTACTGCGCCCCCTGCTGGGGTACTGCGCCCCCTGCTGGGGTACTGCGCCCCCTGCTGGGGTACTGCGCCCCCTGCTGAGGTACTGCGCCCCCTGCTGAGGTACTGCGCCCCCTGCTGGGGTACTGCGCCCCCTGCTGGGGTACTGCGCCCCCTGCTGGGGTACTGCGCCCCCTGCTGGGGTACTGCGCCCCCTGCTGGGGTACTGCGCCCCCTGCTGGGGTACTGCGCCCCCTGCTGGGGTACTGCGCCCCCTGCTGGGGTACTGCGCCCCCTGCTGGGGTACTGCGCCCCCTGCTGGGGTACTGCGCCCCCTGCTGGGGTACTGCGCCCCCTGCTGGGGTACTGCGCCCCCTGCTGGGGTACTGCGCCCCCTGCTGGGGTACTGCGTGACCCCTCCCCTCCCTCCCTCTCCCTACCCAACAACAATCTCTCCACGGCAGGTCGAGGAAATGGCATCAAAGAACCACGTCAATCTCGTGCGCCTGCTGGGGTACTGCGTCCACGTGGACGTGGCGGCTAGCACAATGGAGCAGATTCTCATCTATGAGTACATGGAGAATGGCGACCTCGAGAGATGGGTGGGGCCAGGTGGGTGCTTGGATTCCATCAGGTGGGTTTTGAGTCGACTCAAAGAGCACCTTGGGGCGGCTAGCAGAATGGAGCAGATTCTCATCTATGAGTACATGGAGAATGGTGACCTCGATAGATGGTTGGGGCCAGGTGGGTTGTGAGTTGACTCAAGGGACACCTCGTGAGTGCCGTGAAGGATGGGGGAATGGCTGGGGGAATGGAGCAGATTCTCTCCTATGAGTACATGGACAACGGCGACCTCGAGAAATGGGTCGGATTAGGTGGGTGCTTGAATTCGATCAGGTGGGTTTTGAGTCGACTCAATGACAGCTGGGGGAATGGAGCAGATTCTCATCAGGGTGGCGCAGAGCTTCAAGTACCTCCATAGCTTCAACACCCCTTCCCACGCTCCGCCCTTCCAGATTGTTTCCCTGTTCCATTCCACACACCCCTTTTCTGCCTCCCCACTGCAAACCCCACCAGGTGTGCCTGTCCCTCTCAACCTGCGGCAGCGCTTTGATGTGCTCATTGGGGTGGCTCATGGCTTGCAATATCTCCACAGCTTCAACATCGTGCATCGTGACGTCAAGCCCGCCAACATCCTGCTTGACAGAAACATGCAGGTGAGCGTGTTCTAACTTTTGAGACGTCTCAAAAGTCTGCTTGTCAGAAACATGCAGGTGAGCGTGTTCTGAGTCGACTCAAAAGTCAACATGCAGGTGAGCGTGTTCTGAGTGTGCTTTTCTCTGGAACCACCTCCCTTCCCTTGTCTGTGTGCCTTTCTCTGGAAGCACCTCCCTTCCCCACGGGATGGAGTATCTCCATAGCTTCAACATCATGCATTCTAATATCAAGCCTGCCAAGATCCTGCTTGGCAGAAACATGCAGGTGAAGAAGATCGCGATTTCAATTCTGGACCCTCTCTCGTTTCCCAAACCAGCTGCTGCCCCTCTTTGCCATCCTCCTTCCCTTTATCCCATGCATTTCTGCGTTAATTGTTGCTCTAACTGCGCTACCTTCTCTTGCCCTCTGCCTCTGCTCTCTCCACCTCTCTCTCTCCACCTCTCTCTCTCCACCTCTCTCTCCACCTCTCTCTCTCCACCTCTCTCTCTCCACCTCTCTCTCTCCACCTCTCTCTCTCTACCTCTCCCTCTCCACCTCTCTCTCTCCACCTCTCTCTCTCCACCTCTCTCTCTCCACCTCTCTCTCTCCACCTCTCTCTCTCCACCCCTCCCTCTCCACCTCTTTCTCTCCACCTCTCCCTCTCCACCTCTCCTCTCCTCTCTCTCCCAGGCCAAGGTTGCTGACTTTGGGTTGGTGCGGATAAGCAAAGGCACCACTGGTGATGCAACGCAGCCGAGTGATGGGAACACCGGGCTATGTGGACCCGGCATACACGTGGACACAGAAGGCCACTCCCGCAGAAGACGTTTACAGGTGAGAGGAAGCCATGAGTGAGTGCATGTGTGAGAGAAGGCTCGAGTTTGTGCACAGGTGAACGGAGACCAGCAGAAGACGTGCAGGGGGTACACTTAGTTGCTGCTGGAAACCATTACTTCTAGTGAGGTTCCCACCATGACAAACCCAAAGGGCACGCGATGAACTCGACAATACTGAACTGATTACGACCATCCTTGTTCCGGCATGCACCATGCTCACCACCATTATTGCTTCCCATCATTGCGCACATGGCTGTGAACGTACTTCCCCACAAAGTTCGAGTATTTTTTGCCCACTTACAGACATCACTGCCTGAAATTACACGTATCCCCCGTGTTGCCCACTTTCAAGGCGCCTCAAGACCTGTATTTCCGTGTACGTTCCTTCTATTTCATGCCTGGGCCTTTAATTTCTTGCATGTTCCCGTATCCCCCTGCAGCTTTGGAGTGGTAATGCTGTCTGTCATCACTGGACGCAAGTGCTTGTTCCGATTGGAGGGCGTCATAACCTCACACAAGGCTTTGTCGGACAACAACCAGATAATTCTCAAGGATTGGGTGAGCTCTCTGTTGGGGAAGGATGAGAAAGAGTGATGAGTCTGCTTTTGAGTCGACTCAAAACTAACCCGATAATTCTCAAGGATTGGGTGAGCTCTCTGTTGGGGAAGGATGAGAAAGAGCGATGAGTCTGCTTTTGAGTCGACTCAAAACTAACCCGATAATTGTCAAGGACTGGGTGAGCTTGCTGTTGGGGAAGGATGAGGAAGAGCGACGAGAGACAGAAGGGTGAAAACGAGCAATGAATGATGAAAGTTTAGTTTGCCCCTCATGCCGCTCATGCCTCTCATGCCGCTCATGCCTCTCATGCCTCACATGCCCCTCATGCCTCTCAAGCCCCTTATGCCTCTCATGCCTCTCATGCCTCTCATGCCTCTCATGCCGCTCATGCCTCTCATGCCCCTCATGCTGCCCATGCCTCTCATGCCGCTCCTACTCCTCATGCCTCTCAAGCCCCTTATGCCTCTCATGCCTCTCCTGCCTCTTGTGACTTTAGTGCTTCTTGTATCACTTCCATCCCTTGACCTTCTCCTGCTACACCCCACTCCTCGAGGTGCAACCTCTACTGTATGAAGGGAATGCGAACACCATGAGAGATCCACATCTAGACGCCCCTAACCACATCATTCTCCTCCTAGCCCGCTTCGCCCTCTCCTGTACCACCATGCCCGTGACCACCCGCCCCACCATGGCCCGAATTATATCCGAGCTTATGGCTATGAAAGAAGAGTGCTTTGGCCCGGAAACCGACCCTGTGTTAGAGAATGTGGATAGGCATATGGAGGACATGCAGGTCTCGAGCTTCTCCCAGGAGCTTCAGAGAGCGAGCCAAGCTTCGGAACAGGAAGGAACGTCGGGTTTCAGTAGTGCAACGGGGTCGATAAGGGAAAACGGAGGAGTTAGATAGCTTCGAAAGAATTAGTGTACTGCGTTGTATAGCTGGGTTTAATAAACGGAAATTGGCCAAGTAAAAGGCCTCGATGGGATCGAAGAATTGATTAATGGTTGAGGGTGGTTGAAAGAAGGTATGGTGTTTGCATTGGCGATGGTCTTGTTTGCAAATGTCATGATGAATACTTTAGAGATAAGCAAGGTACCAAAGTCATAGATGTTGGACCATCAGAAATTTAAAGCCGGCGCCTAGAATGGCAAAGGTTCAGAATTACTGAACTTGAAAAGGGTTGTGCGAAGGTTGACGAGAGGAAAATTCGCAAGCGGCAGGTGGCGAAGGACTAATGCTCCAGTTTATCGCAATACACTGTATTGAACAAGCACCAACGACAAAACAAAACTCAACCACTCTCACACAGCACACCACTCAAATTTCGCTCAAGTCCTTAAGCACTCTCTAAAAGCGTGCGTAAGTAGTACCAGTTGATAGAAAGAACATCAGTTTACGAAACTAAGCATCCAGACTAAGATAGCTAGGTATAACATGTGAGAACATATACGGTGCCGCCAGAATCGTGAAGAATCCGAGGACCGAGGGAGGGAATGTGGCGCGGATGCGAGTGTGAAGCACGGAGATGATGAGCGGCACGGGATGAGAAAGTAGAGAGTTGTCGACCTCGTTTCCCACTCCCGTCGCCCTCGCATCCCCCTCCCGTCGCCCTCGCATCCCCCTCCCGTCGCCCTCGCTTCCCCCTCCCGTCGCCCTCGCATCCCCCTCCCGTCGACCTCGCTTTCCCCCCCCGTCGCCCTTCCATCCCCGTCCCGTCCCCCTCCCATCCCCCTCGCGTCCCCCTCCCCTTGCGCTCCCATCCCCCTCCCATCACCCTCCGATCCCCCTCCCATCGCGCTCTTATCTCCCTCCCCTTGCGCTCCCATCCCCTTCCCATCTCCCTCCCATCCCCCTCCCATCTCCCTCCCATCTCCCTCCCATCCCCGTCCCGTCCCCCTCCCATCCCCCTCCCATCCCCGTCCCGTCCCCCTCCCATCCCCCTCCCATCCCCCTCCCGTCCCCCTCCCATCTCCCTCGCTTCCCCCTCCCATCTCCCTCGCTTCCCCCTCCCGTCGCCCTCGCTCCCCCCTCCCATCGCCCTGCTGATTCCTCCCCCCGCCCCACTCTGCTTCCCCTGCTCATTCTCCTCCCCCCGCCCCACTCTGCTTCCCCTGCTCATTCTCCTCCCCCCGCCCCACTCTGCTTCCCCTGCTCATTCTCCTCCCCCCGCCCCACTCTGCTTCCCCTGCTCATTCTCCTCCCCCCGCCCCACTCTGCTTCCCCTGCTCATTCTCCTCCCCCCGCCCTACACCTGCTCATTCTCTTCCCCTTTGCTCACTCCGTTTCACCTGCTCATTCTCTTCCCCCTATTCGCTTTCGTTCTCTGTTTCCCTTTCACTCACCCCCATTTCCAACCCCGCAGAATACAAGTCCCAGCACCATGGCCCAGCGTTTATTGCAAGCAGTGTAGCACACAAGAGTGGATAAAAAAAGAAACATTTCCTAGCTGTCATCTTTGGGTTGATCATCAGTTGTTCCCTTACAAAAGAAAATTGTTTCTGTGTCGCACTTTTTTGTAGTGATCAGGTGCACGGCAGCTCCTAAGCTCAGGGTTTGTATTATAACAAAGCATCCAACATCAATACATGGCATGGCTAGTTCGTGGTACTATCGAACACCAACACATCACCACAACCAGATGCATAGAGGGCCTGTACAAACACAAACCAGGAAATAAGATGTGACATAGCTAAATAGCAGGTAAACATACAAGAGAGTGGCAGTGCAAGGGAGGCGAGAGCCAACATTATGTATGAATCTGGATAACGCAAGACCTCTCGATTTACCTAAAATTACATCAGAATAGGAACAGGACAGAGTATGCAGATGACAGAGTGAACAGAGGAGTGAGCATGGTGTGTAAGGGAGCAGGGTGTGAGTGAGCAGGGTGTGTGAGTGAGCATGGTGTGTGAGTGAGCATGGTGTGTGAGTGAGCATGGTGTGAGTGAGCATCGTGTGTGAGTGAGCATGGTGTGTGAGTGAGCATGGCGTGTGAGTGAGCATCGTGTGTGAGTGAGCATCGTGTGTGAGTGAGCAGAGCGCGGGCACGGCGGGGTTACCCACGGTGGGGAGAAAGGAGGAAAGGGGCTGAGAGAGAAAGGAGGAGAGGGGCTGAGAGAGAAAGGAGGAGAGGGGCTGAGAAAGAAAGGAGGAGAGGGGCTGAGAGAGAAAGGAGGAGAGGGGCTGAGAGAGAAAGGAGGAGAGGGGCTGAGAGAGAGGAGGAGAGGGGCTGAGAGAGAAAGGAGGAGAGGGGCTGAGCGAGAAAGGAGGAGAGGGGCTGAAAGAGAAAGGAGGAGAGGGGCTGAGAGAGAAAGGAGGAGAGGGGCTGAAAGAGAGAGGAGGAGAGGCAAAGAGAGAGGGACAGCGAGGGAGGGAAGGAGAGGCGAAGAGAGAGGGACAGCGAGGGAGGGAAGGAGAGGCGAAGAGAGAGGGACAGCGAGGGAGGGAAGGAGAGGCGAAGAGAGAGGGACAGCGAGGGAGGGAAGGAGAGGTGAAGAGAGAGGGACAGCGAGGGAGGGAAGGAGAGGCGAAGAGAGAGGGACAGCGAGGGAGGGAAGGAGAGGCGAAGAGAGAGGGACAGCGAGGGAGGGAAGGAGAGGCGAAGAGAGAGGGACAGCGAGGGAGGGAAGGAGAGGCGAAGAGAGAGGGACAGCGAGGGAGGGAAGGAGAGGTGAAGAGAGAGGGACAGCGAGGGAGGGAAGGAGAGGCGAAGAGAGAGGGACAGCGAGGGAGGGAAGGAGAGGCGAAGAGAGAGGGACAGCGAGGGAGGGAAGGAGAGGCGAAGAGAGAGGGACAGCGAGGGAGGGAAGGAGAGGCGAAGAGAGAGGGACAGCGAGGGAGGGAAGGAGAGGTGAAGAGAGAGGGACAGCGAGGGAGGGAAGGAGAGGCGAAGAGAGAGGGACAGCGAGGGAGGGAAGGAGAGGCGAAGAGAGAGGGACAGCGAGGGAGGGAAGGAGAGGCGAAGAGAGAGGGACAGCGAGGGAGGGAAGGAGAGGCGAAGAGAGAGGGACAGCGAGGGAGGGAAGGAGAGGCGAAGAGAGAGGGACAGCGAGGGAGGGAAGCAGAGGCGAAGAGTGAGGGACAGCGAGGGAGGGAAGGAGAGGCGAAGAGAGAGGGACAGCGAGGGAGGGAAGGAGAGGCGAAGAGGGGGAAGGGCGGAAATTAGAAGAAATGGAGCAAGGGGGGAGGGGAGGAAAGAGAGGGTTCGGTGAGAGATGGGAAGGAAAGGAGGAGGACATGTGTGGGGATAAGGGCGAGAAGCGTGGAGGGAGAGGGAGGGCGAGTGAGAGGGAGAAGGGGGAAACGGAGGAAAGGACTAGGGAAAAGGGAGGGAAAACAAGGGGGGAAACGGAAGGAAGGACAAGGGGGAAGGGGAGGGACAAGAGCGGAAATCGGAGGGACGGGAGGTGGGGAAAGGAAAAACGAAATGGACAAGAAGGGAAACGGATCCGGAGGAACCGGAGGGAAGGACATGGGGGGGGAAGGGGGGAGGGACAAGGGTCTTGGGATTGAGGCTGGGCGGGCTAAGAGGAAGGGAGGGAAGGACAAGGAGTCAGGGATTGAGGGGCAAGGGGAGGGAGGACACGGGGGAAAGGGAGGGAGGGGGGAGGGGGAAAACGGTGGGAAGGTCAGCGGGGGAAGGGAGGGAGGGACAAGGGACTTCAGGACAGGGTGGAAAGGCGGGAGAAACATGGGCGAAAAGGGAGACACGGGGAAAGAAAGGGGGGGCAGTGGGGGAACGGGGGAAAGTACAAGGGGGGAAACGAGAGTGGTGGGAAGCGGACTTGGAGAAAATGACGAAACGGGATGCAGTGCTCGGTGGAATGCAATGGGATGCGGAGGGTACGGCGAGGAGAGAAAGGAGGGAAGAACAAGAGAGGAAAGTAGGGAAGGGCAAGGGCACGAGACGGGGAGGGGAAGGGAACGAGGCGGGGAGGGGAAGGGAGCGCGACGGGGAGGGGAAGGGAACGAGGCGGGGAGGGGAAGGGAGCGCGACGGGGAGGGGAAGGGAACGAGACGGGGAGGGGAAGGGAACGAGGCGGGGAGGGGAAGGGAACGAGACGGGGAGGGGAAGGGAACGAGGCGGGGAGGGGAAGGAGCACGACGGGGAGGGGAAGGGAGCACGACGGGGAGGGGAAGGGAGCACGACAGGGGAGGGGAAGGCAGCACGACGGTGAGGGGAAGGGAGCGCGACGGGGAGGGAAAGGGAGCGCGACGGGGAGGGGAAGCGAGGGCGACGTGCAGGAAAAAAACAAAAAAAGCCACGAAAAGGGAGAATGACGAGAAGGCAATATGTGTCGGGAATGACGGAAGGGAGCGCCACGGGTAGGGAAGGGAGCGCGACGGGCAGGGAAGGGAGCGCGACGGGCAGGGGAAGGGAGGGCGATGAAAAGACGGTGATGGGAGGCGACGGTACCGCCGCGACGATGGAAATGGCATTTGCCGCCGCGACGCTATTGATGGTCGTGACCGTCACGACATTGGGAACGGAAGTGACATTGGCCGCGAAAGATGGAACTGGAGTGCCCTGAACTGCCTACGGTCGGAATGGTGGTTGACGACCACCATTCCGACCGTCACAAGAGCTCTTAGTCAAGGCGAGTCGTGTGTTACGGCGGCAGTCCTGAAAAAAGAGTGACGCGAGTTTGTGACCTTGTGAGGGAATGGGAGTGACGGGGAGGGCGAGATAAATAGGAGGGACAATACGAACGGGCGAGACGGGATGAACGAGCGGGAATGAGTGCGCTAGCAGACACGTTCGCTTTCTAAGCTATGGAGCCTCCTTGATATCGAGTCTAGTATGGTCAGTTTCACTTTCAAGTTTGCTAAAGTATGAACAGTAGTCTGCGTGGTTGGCTTTTGTGGCGAGAGGGTTGATAATTTTGCCTGTGTTCATCTCAGCCAATCAGAATCCCCCTCCCAGAAACTGTTTCCGGTGGTTGCGAGGGTGGGAAAGCCCCAACCGGGTTACCCTGTTTCTGGCGATTTCAGCTTCAAGAATCTTGAACTTGATCCCTTGCCATTCTAGACTCGGGCTTTAACTTGAGGTGACCAAGGTAACAAAGCCATACATGTTTAACCAACAGAAGTTTAACGAGAGGTAACCAAGGTACACCTAGGGCCTGTTCTAGGATTTAGAGCATCCTGAGCCCTCAGGGCAACTTTTAAAAACTCTCCAAAATGCCCTGATTTTGCAGGGCAAAAGTTCGTGGCTATCCTGAAATTTTAGGGCACCAGGAGGAATGCATCCTGATCTTTCAGGGCAAAAAAATTACAAGGCACGAGAGTGGTTGAGATGAAGGCACAAGAGGAGCGGCTTGCCTCGTGGTATCACTACAACTAGCTATGCGAAAACTTCGCGGGGAAACAAAACCAGCACACACACTCCCCCACCTCCTTCCTCCCCTCTCCCCCTCCCTCCCTCTCCCCTCCCACCCTTTCTTCCCCTTCCCACGCGTCAGGGCATCCCTCGAGATTTATCCTAATGCTTCAGGGCAAAAATTCAAGGCCTTCCTGAAATTTCAGGGCAAAACAAAAAAAATCACCCTGACATCACAGGGTAAATTTCAGCAACATCCTGAACTTCTAGGGCAAACTCATAACATCATCCTGAAATCAGGGTAATCAGGGTGTTTTGCCCTGATATCGAGGGCCCTAGACGTTGTATACTAATACAATGCGTTATTTAGCTACATTTTCCACACCTGGTACAGATTGTGGTGGGAAACGAGGGCGACATTAAAGGTACATCACAAAAGAGCCCTCGAACCAGCTCGGAACGCGCGTGGAATGTGACTGCGCGTAGCAGCTCAACTACAATTGTAACTGCGCGTCGATGCTTCGCAAACTTCTCATTTGCAGAATGAGAAGTAACTTTTCGCTCTCGTCTGTTTTTCGCAACTCTCGTTCCAGTGCTGGTCCGCACGGAGTCGGAGGTTCTTTCGTAGCCGGTCCGCGAACCGTCCGACGGGCGGTCCGCATGCTTTTTGTCAGACCAGAAGTCAGGGGATCTGCCTCAAGCTTTGGGCTGACGAGCCCCAGAAAAACCAGTGTGCGACACCCTTGCACTTCGCGAGGCCGGCAGCATCCACCCAACTGCCATCGTTGGTTTCGTTGTCTGCGGTGGTGGAACATGAAGCAGGCTTCGTCTGGAGCGGTTACCAGATTGAGTCTGCAAACGTGCCGTAGCCGCAACTCATGTTCACCCCCGACAATCACTCACGTCGATATCTCCACCACGCAAATCCCAGACTACAATAATCGTCTATCCTTTCTAGTCTCAACAACAATAATCGTCGATCTCCAGAAAACATAGGCACGCCCGAGCAGAAACCGCTAAATTGTAAGGATTTTCGTCACACATCTCAGTATCATTTTTTTCTCGTCGTTTCTTCTCAGTGTCATTATTTTTATCACAGCCGATAGCATTCCCTTCGCTAGTTTCCATGGCTCCTCCGTGGCGCCTCGACTCTGCGAGCGTGCTTCGCGCTTCCGGCACCTTATTTCTCTCCATCGCCATCGCATTGATTCTGATGCCAGTAGCGCGCGCTCAACAGTGCTCGAGCTCCTCGCCGTGTAACCCGCGGAGCCTATGCTGCAGGTTAGTTTGAGACGTCTCACAACCCGACTCGGAGCCTATGATTGCAGGTTCGTCATGAGGAAGTTTTGAGAACCATAGGAATTTTCTCAACAGTTCGAGATCACAGCCATGTGATTCGCGAAGCGAATCTTGCTGCAGGTCGTTTACATTCTTTCAGAATGCGCTCTCCTCATTCCTCGTTTCATGCTTTCAGAGAAACAGACATTTTCATTCTCAAGAATTTGATTACACGACGTAAAATCCTTTCCCTTGCGCCTGCTTCGTTTCTCACCCTCTTTTGCACGCAGCAAATGGGGCTGGTGCGGCAGCAACGTCTCCTACTGCGGTGACGGATGCCAGAACGGGCCGTGCTCTGGTGAGTCTGTTGGTTCAAATGATTCAGAGAATTCAGACGCTTTGGAAAATTCGGATAGTGTGAAAAATCCGGAAAATTCGGACGTTTCGGCCGATTTAGATAATTAGGATGAAATGGGTGTTAGAATGTGCCTGCTCCCGTTCATCGCTCACTATCCTGTGACCGTTTTCATTCCCATGCACATTTACAGGAGGCACAGGCAGTGGCTCAGCCTCCTTTCGCCGCATCACCTACTTCCCCAACTGGAGCGGCATCGACCCCAGCACCATCCAAGTGAACCACTTCACTCACATCGTCTACGCCTTTGCTGCCATCAGCCCCCTCAACTACACTGTAAGGCCTGTCAGTTGCTGCTACCATCCCTACACCGTAAGCCCTCGCACTCTGTCACGGATTTCTATCACGGCCTCCACACCTGCTTTTCAACCGTCAAGGCCAAAAACTTATTGGTCAATGCAGCTTCCCCCTTTCTCTCTTTGATTTTGCTCCCCTTTCTCTATTCATCTCCCTTCGCCCCTTTCCTCCCATCCAGGTGGTGCCCTCTGAGTGGTGGACAGACGTCTCTGGCGGCCTCTACACCCGCTTCACCTCAGCCATCAAGGCCCAGAACCCCGCAGTCAAGCCGATTCTCTCCATCGGCGGTGGTGATGCCGTGAGCGCTCCGCGATTCTCTTACGTTGCAGCTACTCAAGCACGGCGCACTAAGTTCATCAACTCGGCGATTGCTCTGGCAAGGAAGTATGGTTTTCAGGGGATTGATGTCGACTGGGAGACTCCAAAGGGTGTTCCAGAGCGCTTTTCAGCGCTGATTCAAGATTTTCGGGCAGCTGTTGATGCTGAAGCTGCCCGGACAGGTCGCGAGAAGCTCACGCTGTCTGCAGCTATACCGGGGTATACCGGGGAGATAGATTCCAGCTTCCATGTCCCGACACTTAACAAAGTGCTGGACTGGGTGGGAATCATGACATATGACATGCATGGTGAGTGGGAAGATGAGACCGGACAGCATACAGCCCTGGAGGACAAGAAAAACCCATTGGCAAGCATTAAGGGGTCTGTGCCAGTTTTTGTTGCCAAGGGATTGTCACGAAGTAAGCTGGTGCTGGGTCTGGAATCGTATGGTCATGCGTGGACTCTTCAGAATGCTGGGAATCACAAGGTTGGGGCACCTGCTAAAGGAGGCCCCACTATGAGCTACAAGGAGATAGTCACGTTCATCGCGAATGGTGCTACAGCTGTGTTTGATGCCCCACTTCGTCGATGTATGCTTACAAGGGGACGAAGTGGGTGGGGTACGACAATCCTGACACAATTGCAATGAAGGTAAAATATGCCAAGCAGCAAGGGCTGGGTGGTTACATGTTCTGGTCGCTAAATCAAGATAATGGATATAGTTTAGCTAAAGCTGCTGCTTCAACGGTTTAGGTTCAGACATCACATCAGCTGCTGTTTAGTTTTATATAAATGTAATTATTGGATTTTTTGGAAATGGTTGTTCGGAAGTTGGGCCACAAGACCTGTAGCGGGGATGGGTGCCTTGAGAGGATTGTTTATTCGCGAGGAGCGGAACATGAGTATCGCTAAAACGCAAAACAACCTGTGACGACAAATCGTCTCAGAGAAAATTGGGTCTCGACGAAAACGGTTACCAGATTGTGTTCGACACTGTTGCCGAAACCGCAACTCACGTCCACAACAGAACATCAAGAGCCAAGACGATATCGACGATTCCACCTGCATTGCCTTTCATTTCAGGCAGCACAAGTAGCTACTACAGGCGCGGCCGAATCTTTATTCTTCGAGCGTTTCTTGTTATTTGTCTCGAGTTTCGGTCTCCTCATTACAGCGGATAGCTAGCGACCAACAGCAAGACTAACGCGCATCCATGGCTCCTTCGTGGTGCCTCCTTACGAGCGAGCTCCGCGTCACAGCCACCTTAGTACTCTCCATCACCATCGCTTTGACTTTAATACCAGCAGCGCGCGCTCAACAATGCTCGAGCTCCTCGCCCTGTAATCCGCCGAGCCTATGCTGTAGGTCCGTTTTGAAACGCTCACAACCCGAGCCTGGGCCTCATGCTGCGAGTCAGCTGACGACGTTCCTCCCCTTGCTCCTTCCTGTCGTTTCCATGCTTCAGAACACGCCTTTCGGCCCTACGGTGCTTTCAGACCACAAATAACGTTTCATAAACTATTTCTTGGAGTTCTGGAAGGTCATAAAATATTTCACAACTCTGCTTCTAAGACGCAACTTTATTTTTATCTTGGCTCCTTGATTTAACATGCGCTTTTTCTTCATTCATACTTGTTTGGCTTCACAGCCATACCCTCCCCCATCGCACTCTCTCACCTCAACCGCGGTCCCATCCACCTATCTTCGCCCCTCTCGTCCCTTCTCCTTCTTCTCCTACCCCTCCTTTCATCCTCCTTTTCAGTTCCATCCCCCCTATTCTCTTCGCCCCTATCGTCCCTTCCTCTTCTTCTCCTACCGGCCGCTCATCCTCCTGCCTTGTCCGTCGCTCTCTCTTTTGCCCGCAGCAAGTGGGGCTGGTGTGGGAGCAACTCCTCCTACTGCGGTGCGGGATGCAAGAACGGGCCGTGCTCCGGTGAGAATGATTCAGATGGTGCTGGTAAACTGGAGATGCTTCGGATAATCTAGATGATGCAGCTTATTTGGTTGATTTGAATGTTTCTGGGATCATTCGGATTTTCTCAGGTGCTTCAGATGTTCATATGAGTCGGATATATCATATGTGTCATATAAATCAGAAATTCCAGATTATCGGGTGATTCAGGTGGTCTTCCTTCATTGAGCATCATCCCAACCCATCAATGCACATACTACCGCCTAATGCCCCATGCATATGCATGTACACGCACATGCACAGTGCACACGGACATGCACGCATGCCGACACACTGTTTTAACATCACCCTCATCTGCTCCTCTGCTTGCACAAGCAGGCAGGCAGAGGAACGTGCACGGGCACGAGCACAGGCACGCACGGGAATGGGTATGGGCACAGCTCCATTTTGCCACGTCGCTTACCAAGCCAACTGGAGCAGCGTCGACCCCAGCACCTTCTCAGCATTGCCCCCTATGCTCCCACCCCTATGCTCCCACCCCTTTGCTCCCACCCCTCTCCCTGCACACATGCACAGCCTCCTTTCGCCGCATCACCTACTTCCCCAACTGGAGCGGCATCGACCCCAGCACCATCCAAGTGAACCACTTCACTCACATCGTCTACGCCTTTGCTGCCATCAGCCCCCTCAACTACACTGTGAGCCCCCGTGCTCTCTGGTTCATGCGCCTCATTCTCCCATTCGTTCACTCATTCGTGCTTTCCAGACGCCTTATCAGAGCAGCAACATTTTAGCCGCCTCATTCTCCCGTCCGTTCAAGCCAGTTCTCTCCTTTCCACCCATCCAGGTGGTGCCTATGAGTGGTCGAAAAACTTCTATCGCAGCCTCTACACCCGTTTCTCTGCAGCCATTAAGGCCAAGAACCATTTAAAAAAGAATTTCCCCTAGTTCTCTCCTCATTCGTGTTTCCTCCTTTCTCTCATTCTTACCCCTTTTCGACCCATCCAGGTGGTTCCCTATGAGTGGTGGACAGACATCTATCACGGCCTCTACACCCGCTTCACGGCAGCCATCAAGGCCAAAAACCCAGCAGTAAAGTCAGTTCTCTCCATCGGCGGTGGTGATGCCGTCAGCGCACCGCGGTTCTCGTATGTGTCAGCTACTAAAGCGCGCCGCACAAAGTTTATCAACTCGGGGATTGCGCTGGCGAGGAAGTACGGGTTTCAGGGGATAGACATTGATTGGGAGCTTCCAAAGGGGGTTCCAGGCCGGTTTTCAGCATTGATTTCGGATTTTCGGGCAGCAATTGATGCTGAAGCTGCCCGGACACGTCGTGCGAAGCTCACGCTCTCAGCAGCTGTGACAGGGTATGCGGGGGAGATCGATTCCTGCTACCAGATGCCAACACTTAACAAAGTGCTGGACTGGGTGGGAATAATGACATATGAGTTTCACGGGGAGTGGGACGACATGACTGCACAGCACACTGCTCTGGAAGACAAGAAGAACCCGCTTCTAAGCATCAAAGGTGCTGTTGCGGGTTTTATCGCCAAGGGTTTGTCAAGAAGTAAGCTGGTGCTGGGTCTGGCGTCTTATGGCCATGTGTGGACGCTCAAGTCTGCTGCAAACCATGGTGTCGGGGCACCTGCTAAAGGAGGTCCCACTATGAGCTACAAGGACATAGTGAAGTTCATTGCAGGTGGTGCTACATCTGCATTTGATTCGCCATCCTCATCGATGTATGCTTATAAAGGGACCAAATGGGTGGGGTATGACAATCCTGACACAATTGCCAAAAAGGTGAGGTATGCCAAGCAACAAAGGTTGGGAGGTTACATGTTCTGGTCTTTTGATCAAGATTATGGATATAGTTTAGCCAAGGCTGCTGTTACAGCAGCTTCGACCTAGTCAACAAATACTTAGATTCCATACTAGGTGTAACGATGGCAGCTGTTATTAATGCTCTTACACTTGCTCTATGCATAAAAGGGTATGTCGCACAAGCTGGCAGTCTAGTGCATTTTATATTTTTCTCCCTTATATTTTTGCAGGATGAACGGGATTCTGTCGAAATCCGAAGTGCAGCTATCATTTGCAGAAGCGGAGTCACCAGAAACAAAACGGCTGAACTCAGTGATCTTCGAGATTTGTCTATCATCGAGGGCTGACAGACGAGGTTGATATTTGGCAGGATATCGGACGGTGATTCGGGATAGAATCCCATCACTGCTGCGCGTATGCATTGTGCAATCTCGAGGCTAGAGTTGAGACTGAACGCTGGAGTCTGCTTTGTAGGAAATGCTGTTCATCTTACCTCATGTTATTGCCGCTACTCTTTCAGGAGCACGTTTCCCTAAGCTGTGTGCTATTTCGGCGTTGCTGTTGCATCTCACCAGAGTAGTCAGCTGTTCGTATTCCGGCTTCGTGCTTCGCCATAGCGGGAGCAGCCCTCGCGGAAAGAACTTCGCAAGGAACTTGGCGTTTGACCCGTAGCGTGGTCGTATCTAGGGTCGTTAGCCGAAACAATACGCACGCAGACCACGCGAGCGAGCAGTTAAGCGAGCAAGCAAGCTAGTCATTAGATGAGAATGGAGAGACGGATTCGTCCGCGTTTGAGACGGCGGAAACGTTAGCTAACATGTGCGTGTAACGAGGCATTCACAGGACATGGCGCCGTGACGAGGAGTGGCCCAGAGTGGCTCAAACTGTTCCAGAGTGGTCCATAGTGTGTTGCTTGAAGACAAATGATACGCATTCCAGCAATGCAGGAGTGATATGCAAGCCAAAAATAGGCCATTCTTAGAATATACGTAGGACATAGGTTTGCCCTAAAGCGGCATAAATTAGGCCATTAGTAGGCCATAAGCAGCCTGCACTGGCAGACCAATGGGATTCGGCCAAAGCCCTGGGAGCGCGAGCAGCAGTTCTGCCGGCAATGGCAGTAACGGCGATCGCAGCGGGGTTTCGTTCATCGGCAGCGGAGGAGTTTCTTTCTTCAAGTCCTTATTCGACTCGTCTCAGAAAGCGCCTACTAAGACGGTAGTGGTAGAGGACGGCGACACGCTGTGGGACCTCTCCGTGAAATTCGGCGTGGACTGTGAGCAGCTCCAGGCGTTTAACAAGCTGACATCGGACACTATTTACTCCGGGGACGTCCTTAACATCCCCGTCTCCCCCGCGCGCGTGTCCGTTTCTGAGACGGCGCAAAACTTTGCCGGAAACGCCTCCGCGCGCGTGTCCCTTTCCGCGCCCCCCCTGCTGACTCCCGCGCAAGCAACCGCTTCCCCTTCCCCCACGTCCTCCCCCTACGCGCGAGAGTCTCCCCAGCCGTGCTTACGCGTCAGCACCACCGCCACCGCCACCGCCGCCGCCAACACCGTCGCGAACAGCAGCCCCAGGGACCTTCGCGACAGCAGCGGGAGTAGCGGGAGCGGCGGGAGCAGCAGCAGCAGCAGCAGCAGCAGCAGCAGCAGGAGCAGCGGGGGCAGCGGGAGGGGCGAGGGCAGCGGAAGCAGCGCAAATGCCTCGGTTTCTAGCAAAAGGGAGATTAAGACCAAGTCAGTCCTAGTCCGTGAAGGCGACACGGCGTGGGACATCTCGCTGCGCTTCGGACTCACTCTAGACGAGCTACTATCTCTTAACGCCAGCATTCCCGACCCGCTATACCCCGGCGACGAGCTATTGCTGCCTGCAGACGCGGTCGAGAGGCCGCGTGCACTGGTGGCGCTGGCAGGCGTGAAGGCGAAGGTGAAGGGGACGATGCGCAATGCCAACTTCTGGGACGTGTTCCCGCCGCCCAGGAGTGAGTCGGGTGGGGTAGGATGTGGGGAGGGTGGGAGTGGGTGGGTCGATGTGCAGCTGCTGCTCGCGCGCTGACAGGCGTGAAGGCGGAGGTGAAGGGGACGATGCGCAACGCCAACTTCTGGGACGTGTTCCCGCCGCCCAGGAGTGAGTCGGGTGGGGTAGGATGTGGGGAGGGTGGGAGTGGGTGGGTCGATGTGCAGCTGCTGCTCGCGCGCTGACAGGCGTGAAGGCGAAGGTGAAGGGGACGATGCGCAATGCCAACTTCTGGGACGTGTTCCTGCTGCCCAGGAGTGAGTTGGGGGGAAGAAGGGCGGGGGAAAGGTTTGGGGGAAAGAAGGGCGGGGGAAAGGTTTGGGGGAAAGGAGGGCGAGGAGCAGACACTGCCCTTCCCCATCTGCCTGTCTAGTCTACACGCACTTCTTTTCCTTCCTTATCACCGTGGACAGGAACAAACATTGCCGCCTACTGCAAGCGCTACCTCGTGCTGCTAAATGCGCCGCAATACGTGAAGACCAGCTTCATTCAAAGCCTCTCATGAATGTACACCTCTGCTTGCCCTTCCTGTTCACCCTCGTCCTTCCCCGTCCACCTGCCCAAACTCCGTGCGTCCGTCCCCTTCCACCTGTCAACACACCCCTCCCACAGACATCGATTGCTACCGCAAGCGCTATCGGGTGCTGCTGGATGCGATGAGATACGTGGAGACCAGCTTCATTGAACCTGCTAATCGACACACCCCCTTGTCCTTCGCCTTCTGCCTGTCAACACACCCCTCTTTCCTGTCCCTGTCATCCGTGGAACAGACATTGATTGCTACTGCAAGCGCTACCGGGTGCTGCTGAATGCGTTGAGATCTGTGGAGACCAGCTTCATCGAAGCCTCTCGTCCGTCCCCTTCCACGTCCTCTCTCTTGCATACATTCCTCCCTCCCTCAGACATTGATTCCTACCGCAAGCGCTACCGCGTGCTGCTGGATGCAATGAGATACGTGGAGACGAGCTTCATTGAGCCCGCCCCTGTGGGGGATGATGGGCTGTCGATAGGTCCCCTGCAGATCAGGTACGTGTGTGTGTGCATGCACCAGTTCGCGCATGTAAGGGAGAAGAATGAGCGCTGCTGGATGCCATGAGATACGTGGAGACGAGCTTCATTGAACCCGCCCCTGTGGGGGATGATGGGCTGTCGATAGGTCCCCTGCAGATCAGGTACGTGTGTGTGTGCATGCACCAGTTCGCGCATGTAAAGGAGAAGAATGAGCGCTGCTGGATGCCATGAGATACGTGGAGACGAGCTTCATTGAACCCGCCCCTGTGGGGGATGATGGGCTGTCGATAGGTCCCCTGCAGATCAGGTACGTGTGTGTGTGCATGCACCAGTTCGCGCATGTAAGGGAGAAGAATGAGCGCTGCTGGATGCCATGAGATACGTGGAGACGAGCTTCATTGAGCCCGCCCCTGTGGGGGATGATGGGCTCTCCATTGGCCCTCTGCAGATCAGGTACGATTTTTTGTTTTTTTACATACGTAATCACATGTGCATTCTCTTTCATGCTCCCCCATTTTGCCCACTTTCGATGCGACTCGTCAACTTGTTTTGTCTTCCACCTTCGGTTTGGCCCCCTTTTCTGCCCTGCCCATTTCCTTTGGCAACAACTATTACAGACATAACTACGTGTTGATTGGAGCAGCGAACACGTCAGTCTCTTCCCACTCCCGCCCCAGCAATGACTACCACACGGACGCGAGGTGGTTGGAGCACCGCCTGCTGCTGCCTAAATCTCTTCCCCCCCTCCCCCCGTTCCCCTGCTCCCTTTCCACCTTCTCCCTCACAGCAACGACTATCACACAGACGCCTGGTGGCTGGAGCACCGCCCGCCACTCTGCTACGAGGACTGCCATTGGTCGGTGGAGCACAGCGAGCGCACTGTCATCAACAACTGGCTGCGCTACTGCCCCTCAAAGACAGCAGGCTTGCTGCTCCCCACATACGCCCCTCCTTCCATTGCCTCTCATCAACTCTCCCATTTCCTGCCCACCACCCACCTTTCCTTCCTCCCCCTCTCTCCCCTCTCCTCCTCCCTCCCCCTCCCTCCCCACCCTCCACAGCAATGACTACCACACGGATGCGTGGTGGTTGGAGCACCGCCCGCCACTCTGCTACGAGGACTGCCATTGGTCGGTGGAGCACAGCGAGCGCACCGTCATCAACTACTGGCTGCGTTACTGCCCCTGGTCCCTCGAATTCCACGACCATGAGACGCTTGCTCGCACACACAATGGCGGGCCTGGGTTCTACAGATACATCAAGACCGCCACCTACTGGTGAGGACCCAAGGGTTTGGGGTCAGGGTTTGGGATTTTGGGTTGAAGGCATAGGTCAGCTGCTGGCTGCGCTACTGCCCCTGGTCCCTCGAGTTCAACGACCATGAGACGCTTGCTCGCACACACAATGGCGGGCCTGGGTTCTACAGATACATCAAGACCGCCACCTACTGGTGAGGGCTTAGGGTGGGGGTTTAAGGGTTGGGTTACTACCTCCTGGTCTCTCAAAGTCCACGACCACAAGATGCTCGCCAATACGCTCAATGGGGAGGGGGGGGGGGGGGGGGGGGGGGGGGGGGGGGTGGTATTGTTAAATCACGACTGCTTCTTACTGATGAGATGGTTTGGTATGATCTCCATCCATATCCCCTCTCCCCGTCTCCCCTTCTCCCCTTCTCTCTCCCTCTTCCTCTCCTGCTTCCCCCTCCGTCCTCTCTCTCTCCTTCCCTTCCCTTCTCTCAAAACTTGACTCTCTTGATGTGCAAGCCACCTTAACAACCTCACTCTCTCCCCCCTTCCCCTTCCGTCTAATAAACTTATTTCCGCTTTCATTTACTTGCCGCATTTACAGGCGGAAGGTGAAGAGTGCGATGCGGCACGCGGGGTGGTTCCGAGTAATGCCCGAGTTTGACCCACACCTATCATCAACGCACTTGCATCCTCATGGTATTCTTCCGTTGTTCCAGAAGCACTTCCCATTTTCCATCGCCATGTTAGAACCCGAGCCTCATTCAGGAATTTATGAAATCTGATGTAAACGTATCAGAATCATTATTTGTAGTAACGCTTGCCCATAAGGGGCACAATCACCGCGTATCATATCTGTGCTATGTATAAACTAGCTAAGTAGTTATGGTTTACGAAGCACACTATGTGGCGTTTTCCATTGTCAACGGTCGCTTACTCTGTCGGTTACTAGGCAGCACCAGCCACCGCTGCGACGGAGTTCCATACGGCAAGCGACAAATAAAACAGTCGACCTTTCCACAACGAGTCGCTCAGCGAAACAATCCACCGCCGCCCGAGGCATCCTCCGCTCCCTTACCCCACCTCCCCAACGCGTTTCCTCGAGCATCCGTGCGGCAGCGGAATTCACGCGATGGCGGTGGGGTGCGAGATTCGAGAAATTAGCGAGAATCCTCCGACTTGGCGAAAGCGCGGCATGCACTTTTGCGCGAGCTTCAAATTCGGAGATTTTGCACATTGCAGTTCAATTCATCCATTCCCTCCACTTCAAATCAATCCATCAAAATCCAGTCTAAGCCCCTTCATCTCACCAGTCGATCAGTCGTCCATCATCTCACTTTCCTGTTACTCGCTCAATTCTTCACGTATTCTCAGTTTTCTATCGGTGCCGTCGCCATAGCTACTAGTCTTAGCTCGCTCCAGTTGGTTCACCTAATATTGTTAGAGACGCGCACCTGCGGGTTCCCATTTCTGCCTAAGGGCTTTGGACAATGGCTGCGATTCATCGCGTCGCCGTGCTGCTGCTAGCCGTAGTCGCGGTATGCCACGTCAGCGACGTGTCAGCACTCAACCCCGGGGAAGTGGGGCGAGCCATTGACTTTATCGGGAAGCGGCCGGAATACAAGGCAATCTTCAAATTCGTCGACGACTATTGTACGTTGTGCATGCAACCTCACTCAACCACTCTCAACCTCTGTGTACTGAAACCTCGTCAAAAGGCCCTCTTATCCATTTATGGCGTGGCGGAATCCGTCAAATATTGATTGAACTTGACATCTCAATTTCTAATGCTCAACTGTTGGTGTTTCTATTTGTGTCCCAACCCCAATTTCTTCGCACCAGTGAAATCTCTCATCCCGCTGACCGACCTGACCGTTCTTCTGCCCGCCAACATCGCACTGCTTCGCAACTACACCAAGGACCAGCAGACAACGATTCTGTCGTACAACACAATCGCCACGCGCTACCTCTTCCGCAACCTCACCAACATGCCGGCCGGCACGGAGCTCGACACTCTCGAGGGAAACATGGTCACGAAGCGCGGCCCCAAGAGCCTGCCGACCGTTACGTTTAAGGGCGCGGCGAAACTACCGAGCGTGCTGGCTGTGCCAAACCTGTGGGTTGGTACGGACTTCACGATCCAGGGCACGAGCACGCTGCTCATCCCGCCGGAGCTGCTGACGCCCGAGGCTGACTCCATCCGCGGTGCGGTCAGAGGAACTCTCCGCGGTACAGTTGGGTTCGCTTTGGATGGCGCCGGCGCTCTTCTGAGGCCGCTTGTCGCCCGCCCCTAGCTCATACGGAACGATTAGTTGGTATTTGGTCTAGTTCCGCTACTGCAATGCAGGGATTGTGGTAGCGGTAGGATTCCTGATTATAAGCTGACTTCGTAAATGGTGATTATATATATACGAAGGAATGAGGGCACCTGCGCCGCAGCACCCTCTTCACTTGGAAGACCAACTGTGTGAGGTCAGCATAAGAGTGAAGTCTAGAAGCATGAATTATGATCAACTATCAAAAAGGCGTATTGAGTTGGTATGCGTTGCAATAAGGCCTTCACCCTTCACATGTGACTAGTTTGTAGGAAATGTGCTAATACGGTACTGATTGTTACCCTTATGAATGATAAAGATATGCACTCAATGTTAACCCATTGTCATTTAAGGGACGGTGGTCATTTAGTCCTTCAATCCTATAAGTGCGGGTTTATGCATGTGAACTGATACAATCTGAACCGTCTTATAGGATCGTCTCAGGTTGATCGCACAGAGGTGTAGCAGCGGAAGATTGCTTGCTAGGCAATGTCGGGTATGGATCCTGTCAGAAGGAGATTCAAATCTCGACAGAAGTGACTAATACAATGTAGTACAAGGAGTACAGTGGAATACGAAAAGACCTAGCTAAAAAAAAAAAAAAAAAAAAAAAAACGTTAGGGCTAATCTAGATGCAGAAAAGAAAACCGTGCGACTTGGTAACTGTAGTACGCGGTCCGATAACCGTTTGAACTTTTCCGCGCTTTTCATTTCGAGTTTGTTACGATACGAAGTTCAATGAGAAGGCATTCCTGTACGCTGCAGGAGCCGACTCTACCGAGTACGAAGACGAGGAGTCAGAAGAATCGAAGCGACACAGCAACCGCCTGATCGAGACCGATGCAGGCAGAGACATTTGAAATGAAAAGAGCGGGAACAGGTTTGAAACTGACTCCCGCGCCGCACGGTTTGAATTTCGCTGCAATAAGGGAATGTACCCCTTAGAGTACATGGCTAGTCTAGGTCGTTTCGCATTCCTTTGTATTTCTATATAAACCCTATGTATGCATGCTATTATTATCTCAGTCATTTTACATTCACTCTGACCTGAGTTCACTACTTCCGCTGCAACACTACCTGCGATCAACCCTGAACGATCCTTGTTTCGTTAAGTCCCACTTCAGATTGTAACATGGTATGAGAGCTACTCAAGGATTCTTCGCAACATCACTCCCGTAAAATTCGCCGAACCCAAATCTGGCGAGCGGCACACGCTCCAAGACCAAGATGGCCGGAGGATCCGGAGGTCAAACAAATCTAACGGCCGAAGGACAAACCAACCCGGCTGCGACAAATGAGGCGACAACTACGATCGGCACAGCCGCACTCGAGCAGTTATTCGCTCGACTGTCAACTATGGAGAAAGAACTCCAAGAACTGCGCAAAGGCGATGCGGGAACCACTTCTCAACAAGTGCAACCTGGACAACCGGCTGCAAAAAGCCGCGATACCGCCGCGCATGGCTTCTCCCTCGACTCAGACAAATCTGCAACAACTGCCCCCCGTCCAAGCGACGAGACAATCAACTCTGCGCAAGCACGCTTCCTCAGTGTGTCAAAAATTAAGACTACTACCGCATTTGACGGCAAGGATTTTTATACATGGAGTTTTGAGCTGGAGCTCCTCCTACAAACAGCGCAGATCTATCACTACTTCGACGGCTCCTATCCTAAACCGGTGGAAAACACCGAAGACGCCCGGGCTCAATACTACAGTGAGTCACTTATGGCGTATAGCGTCCTGCTGCGCAACATGTCGCCTGCAGAACAGCTCGGCATCCGCTCCTACAAAGAGAGCGCCGCTCCAGCCCTAGAAGCCTGGAAGCACCTCGTTGAGGTATATCAGCCGAAGGATTCCGTCACTGCAAGTCGTCTCCTGCAACAACTCATGGAGACTAAGATGGGGCACGGGGATTTAGCAAACAGCTACATCAACCGTTGTCGGAACATTCGTGATCAAATCATGAAGAACGGAAGCTCTATTTCGGAGGAGACCTTCGTCAGCATCATCCTCCAAGGACTCGGGCCTGAGTGGAAGCCCTGCAAGGCGCTACTCCGACAACGAGGACAGCTCTCTGAAGCCGCGCTATGCGCCGCACTGCTGACTGAACAGCAGGACATGGACTCGAGCAGAACGAGTTCCGCGCCACGCCGAGAGCGACTCGCCTTCTACACAGACAACCGAGAAGAGCGACGACAACCAAGGCGCCATTATTGCAAAAACTGCAAAGTCTTCGGACACTCAACGGATCGATGCAAGTCTCGATTCAACAATCGCCACCCAAATTCCACTCACCACAACAACTGGGTCGGCCGACAAGACACTCGTCATCCTCAGCCTCAACAATCAGCTCCCCGTCCTCCTGCTCAACAGCAACCACAACAAGTACAGGGAAGTCAGGTTGGAGCTCCCAGAAACGTGTGGGCAAACATGGTGACACGGCGCCGCCGCACCGCCGAACCAGACGAAGAAGACGAACTCCGAGGAGAACTACTCGAGCCAGAAGAAGGATGGAACAACCCCTTCACCGAAAACCACTATTACGGATACGACGAAGACGAACAAGATTGGAACCTGCCAATCACATTGCGGAAAAGCCCGCCGCACGACAATCAACACTACGTACCTGTAGGATGGAAGGAGGACGAAGACCCATCTTTCCACAGGCGCTACAAGGCAACACTGGTGACTCCGCGACTCGCATTGCTACTACGCAACAACAACACCGATAACCTTAACACCTGGTACCTGGATAGCTGCTGCGGACAGCACATGGTGGGATCAGTTCGATACGTCTCGAACCTCAGCCGCGCCCCCGCAACCTACGTCACCGTCGCCAACAACCATCAGCTGCGCGCCAACGCACAAGGCATCGTCGTCCTGCAATCACGAGATAGCAACACACACATTTCATTCAATGACGTGCTCTACGTTCCGGACCTTCGCTTCAATCTCCTCTCGGCAGGACAACTTCGCGACTGCGGTGTCATCCTCACCACGGATCTGGCCACGCGCGACCTCATCCTCACCTACGCTCCTCCCAACACACCGCCCGAGTCATTTAAATACCTCGGACGAGCTCGGTCAATCAACGGGATCTACGTTCTGGACTTTGACATACCAAACTGCCAAGCTTCATCCGACGAACTCGTGGATCTTGTCCCTCTCGACTTCGCCTTCATGAACGAATCATCTTGGCAGCATCCGGACGGACGGCCATGGATCCGGCGAAGTCCACATCCCCGCGAAATCAATATGCACGAGCCCGACATCAACGGCCTCTGCACCACCTGCCACACGCCCACGGCGAGCCGCACGGAGCAAGTCGAAAGAGAGTACGCGGCGATCCAGGAGGCAGAAAGCGCTGAGGAGGAACCAACTGGCATGACCGAAGAAGAACTCGCTGTAGCAACTTACCGCATCTTCGGAGAAGAAAGCAAACAGTTCGGTCAACAACCGGTGCCACGCCCAACGCCGCGCTCCGACACCCTCCGCTTCATGCTCGAAGCTAACACCGGCACCTTCGATGAAGAAAATCGACCGCGCCCATACACTCGCGAAGTTTATCGCCGCGAAATTGACCCGGCCTGGAAAGACCTTGACGCAGAAGGAGAACTAAGCATCAAGGAAGAACGGGAGAAGGCCAGGGCAGAAAAGAAACAGAAGCTGTACGAGGAACGCGTTGCGGCAGGATGGAGCGAGGAAACCGCACGACGAGGGGCATGGGGAGATGAAGATTACGAACCAGAGGAAGGCGCCACTTGGGGATCCGCTACTGGGGCCTGGGGTACTGCAGCCAGCGGCATGGTTACCACAGGCGGATGGGGCACGGCAGCACCAGACGAGGCAGAACTAACACAGGAAGAACTGGAGAAAGCAGAACGAGAGATGCGAGCTGAGCGCGGAGAAGAATCTCCCCGCGTCACCATACCCCTCGGGCGACCGCCACCCGCACACTCGCCTCCACGTTCACCCCACCGATGGGAAAGCACCTGGACGGAGCTTGAGGAGGGGAACATACCTCCAACACCAGCACGAGACTCTCTCGGTCCAATCTCTCGTCCAGATCCATTTGCGCGCCTCATCGAAGGCACCAGGACGCCGCTAAATAACATCCCCGACCGCGAATTTCTCGCCCTCTATCTCACAACGGCACCTGCAGAAGGGGAGACAACGACAGAGGCAGAAGAAGAGGGGACCGAAGCAGAACCAGGAGAGGAAGAAGAACCACCACTACAGATTCCGCAACTTACGGAAGCAGAAGAAGCGGAACAGCACGCCCGTTACAAGCGCACCTCCGGCATACGTGCCAAAAATGACCTCTGGCATCAGCGGCTGGGCCACCCCTCACGCCAGACACTCGCTAACTACCTCCGCGCGAAAGTTTTTCCGCCTGGCGTATTGCTGCGTCCTGACGGAACAAAACTACAGAGTACCACGCCACACCCGACCACCTGCACTGTCTGTCCCACAGCTGCACTCTCCCACACCGCCTACCCCTCTCTAGAGCCGAGCACTAACCGCTACAAAAAACTGGAGAAGGTGTACAGTGACTTCATCGTACTCACCTGCGACGGACTCAACGGCGAAAAATACACGCTGACCTTCATCGACGCCTACTCGCGCTATGTGTGGATCGCCAACGTCGATGCTCGCTCAAAAGCTCCGGACGTGTTCCGCATCTTCCTCGCGCACGCGCAACGACAGTCAGGGAGGAAACTGAAGATTTGGCAGAGTGATGGGGCAAAAGAATTTCGCAGCCACGAGCTGGAGAGTGTCCTCACTGCGAAGGGGATCAAGCATGAAATTTCTCTCCCCTACGCTCATCAGCAGCAAGGCGTCGCTGAGAGGGTCAATCGCACCCTCATGACCAAAGTCCGCGCCATCATGAACCAGTCTGGCCTGCCCAAGAAGTTTTGGCCTTACGCCATGAACCACGCGGTGCGCCTGCACAACCTCCTCTCCACCACCGCCAACAG